CAATGGCACCTGGCATCTGCTGTGGGTGCTCCACAGATCCTGGGTGCACTCCATATTCCAGCAGCAGCTGGAAGGGAGCCAAATAGACTTGGTCCTCTTCTCTCTCTTCCATTCTCCCATCCTAGGAGTAGCTCCATTTGCCTTACCCTCTTACCTCTCCCCAGCCCTCTGATTCTAGCAACATACTCCATTCCATTCCAGCTCACCAATCTGCCCCGGCAGGGCCATCCCGTTTGTTTTTACAGTCCCCCTCTCAATCCGACTCTGTCAATCTTCCTCCACTGAGCTGTGACTTGTGCCTTCTCAGAGGATGCTAGTATTTGTGACCTCCCTTCCCACGTCAGCGCTCGATTATATGTGCGTTCTGCTTCCCACATGTGAGCAAAGGTCACAAGGGTAAAGCTGTCTCACGTGGTCACTGTTTCCAGAAATAGACCCTCTTTCTGACGTTTGCTTTCCTGGTATCCTGGAGAACCAAGCAGCCAACAGAGATGGGTCACACACACGGGGAAGCCAAGCACGTTAGATTTACTAGGGTAATATCCGCAGGTGAGATAACAGCACATACATACAGAAATCCACTGGCAGAGATACCACCCCAGCAACACAGTCAGACACCAAAGCAGCAGAAGGGCTCAGGAAGTGGCTTTGGAAAGTTCTCGTGAAAATCCAAGGGCAGCTTTGGTGCTCAGAGATTCAAACAGAAAACTATACAAAACCATCCCATAAATATATATATATATATATTATATATATGTGCATATATATAAAATTGCAAAATAAAAGCCCCAGAGACTAACCGTCCATCTGCACGTTGGTGGCTCAATATACGTGTTAGCACACAGAAAGGCAAAACCGTTTGTGGGAAAGGTGCGTGACCCAGGGGGCTGGCATTTCAGTAGCAGAGAGAGTATTTACATGGAACCCTTATTTGAAAACTCACAATACTAGGAAAAGCTAAACACAGACAATGTATGTACAAGGGAAGACAGTAAGTAGTACTCCCTAGTGACGATTGTCAGACACAGACAACTCACTGAAACCATCCACAGCTTTAAACAACACTGCACTCCCTACCTAGGCTGGGTTCCTGCTGCCCTGCGCCCCAGCCGGGCCACCCCAGGCTCCCGACTTCTCCAACACTGGGACTCAGTCGTTAAGAGCAGATCATGGGAATTTAAAGGTGGGCCCAGTCCCAGGGGATCAAATCATCACCCACAAAGCAAGACCATCACCACAAAGCAAGACTATATTTTAGGGAATCCCCTCCTTAAAATATATTCCCCTCCCATTGGATATAAGGGGCTGGGAGGTTTTCCAAGTGAGGCCCCTGTGTCCTTGGTCTGACTTTCATCATCTTTCTGATTAATTTTAAAAGGGACGATCTGACCTTTGGGCTTTTAAAAGTTTGACAAGATGATCTGATGGAGGGGAGAAGCATTTCGGGTCTTCCTAGAGCTATTCTCCCACCAAGCTGTAAACGCTGGCGATCACCCTACTTGGTGATAAGGGAAGTGCTCCCATCATGGCCTGCCTCGTCCCGATGCCTGGGAAAGAGTGGGTGGGAAGGGAGCTGAAGACCAGAGGCTACCAGGAGGACCCCCAGAGCCTTCCCAGGCGGAGGCCGACTCCAGCTGCCCCAGAATCCCTCTCTGCTCAGTCGCCAACTCCCTCCTCCACCTTCTGGCCTGCTTCTCATAGCGATGACCCAACTTTGGGGGGGAAATCTACAACCACCTAAGAATGAAAACGTTTACTTCCGTATTTTTAAAGACCACCTCCAACTGGAGGTTCTTCCTAATTGCTCCTAAGATGGCCACCTTCTCCAGGGAACTGCCTATATAAATACAATGAAAGCCACTTTCTCCGCCAAAGGATCCCCACGCTGACCCCTGGGTGAGTGTGGCTTCTCACTGCAGACGTGTCTTGATGGCAGAGCCCTACCGAGTCTCTCATTCCTGACAAAAATTATATCTAATCCACGGAGATCAGCCAGTTGGACAGGACTTTGGGGAATAATTATGTTATGGTGTATAAGCTTTTTCAGGTTGTGGTGCACGGAGAAGTGGGCACAGATGGCAACTCATGAGCTTGTATTAAATCACCCCTTTCAATGTGGGACAGATATGATGTCCTATCAGGTTTAGAGCTTGGATGCCCTGTCCTTTTTCTATGGGTGTGGAGAACACAGACTTATCTTCTCAGACTCCTTGAATTTTATGGTCTTAGATCAAGGGTTTATTTGGGCTCAGTGAGGAGAGAAGACATAAGAAGACCTGTTTCCTCCAGGCTCAGAGTCAGCTGCAGCAGTGCCAACCAATGGAGGGCCTCTGCAGACCCGCGTGGGTAAAATGAGTGAGGGGAAAACATTTCCTCACCTGTTCAATAGCCAAGAAAGGTTTTCTCTTGGCCTAGAATGTAAAAATTCACACTTATGAAAAAGCCTGGTGTCCTGGCCTGTGATAGGCTGTGTCTCCTTCTGTCTCCAAGCACGTCATCCTGGAAAAATCAAACTTATTTCTAACCTTTTGACTTTCAGAAGTTAATCATGCCAGAGGGTAAATGGTTCTTTTAGATCCACAGCAACCAAAGAAGTGGATCAATAGCATTTCTTCCCATGCTGACAAGAGCCATGGCCCCTCTGTTACAACAGTGCCAAACAACCTCTGAATAACCACCCTGGCGCGTCACCATGGGTGAGGGACAGAATTATCCAGCAGAGGACAGGATCTGATGCTTGGCCTATGTGATTTGGTGGTGTGGGGCAGGGCTTTATGGTGGGCTTACTACTATAAGAACCTGCAACCCCTCGTCCAAATCCTCCCAAGTCCTTTCGACTCAGAGGAATAAACTCATGTTACCTGTAGGAGTTTCAATGGGGGTTATTTTCACGTAGCTGAAGTAGGGCAGTAACTTGGGTCAGCTGTGGGCCAGGAGGCTCTGGTGTAGCCCAGATCTGGGCTGCAGCAGGGTCAGGGAGTCTCTTGGCGGTGCCTTTTGCAGTTTGAGAGAAGGTCACATGGTATGGATGGTTCTCCCACAACACAATTGGCTACCAGCTACCAGTGCACAGAGGCATTGGACCCAAACTTGACCCTCTGTGACCACTGACCCCTCTTCCTCTCTGCCCCAGCTCCTGCCTGCCTTCCCACGGAAACAGGCTCAGACGCTTCTCTACTGCTCAGATCAGCCAGTCACAGTGAAGCAGACTGGTGCACATTCTCTTATCCCTTTTCTGTGTCCTATCTGAGCACAAGGGCTCAATTAGAAACTAATCCATTGTCTATAAGCTTGGAGCTCATGAATATTCGTTTTCTCCAGTCAGATACCAAACTTTCAGTCGACTTTTATGCAGAGCCAAATAAAATACTCTCTCACCCTCGTGGCCTGCGGGTTTGTCTGGACTGCCTGGCTGTTTCTACAGCACTCGGTGCTCACCCGCCAGCCTGCAGCGGAATGGACCGCATCCTTCACAGGCGAGGGAAGAAAACTGTCAGGTTGATGCAACCCTTTCCCAGCAAACCCACGCCGAGATGAAACAGAACTGAGTAGGGGACATAAGCTCTTCCTTCCTTATTAAAAATCTCAAAGGGACTCCGGGCTGGAAACTCACTATTTGCTATAGAAGATAGTGTGGTTCCTCGCTTCTGTGCATAGTCTTTCCTCATTTGGGAATAGGAAACCCTTGTCTCTCTGGGACATTTCTTTGTTTTGAAAACCTAACTCCGCCATCATCACTTTCAGGAATGTTCCTCTGGCCCCCGAAGAAATCAAGTGTTGCTTCCTTATGCCACCCCTCTGCACTCGCCCGTTTTGTATCGTCCTATGGGCCTCCTAGACTGTGAGTTTCTTGTGGGTAGGAGCTCTGTCCTCCCTTCACACGGGCACCAGGACCCAAGCTCAGTGCATGTTTTCTAAATACATAAGGAATGAACAGATTGGCAAATATGAGGTGGACTCGTGGCACAAATCCCACGGATGATGCTCCAGCAAGGCTCCGACATTTTCGCCTAAATGGGGGCTTGCTAAGGTAAAGGGAAATACAGAGCGTTTGCTAAGTATGGAGCCATCAACAGACACCTCTGAGCAACGATGACTCTCACACAGAGCTGCTCCGGAGGTCACGTCCACTCCTCCCTTCTCTCAACATTATCTGCCGCCTTTTATTCTAGTAACCATGACTGCTTCCTTTTAACGTCAGCATCATGTGTAATTCTGAGCAGCTGCTCAATAAATTCTATGAAAGGATGAATGAGTAAACAGGAACCTAGTTTTTAAAGAAGGCATCAGAGGATTGGCTTTTAAAGGCATTTCCCATATGACAGATTTGTTTTTTTTTTCTGAGATGTCAGTGCCCCGTTGGGTTGTCCATCCTAAGACGGGACCCAACCAGGAAGCAGAGGGGCCCTAGCAGTTGGGAATCCATGCTAGGTTTTCAGCATTGGGTTTTCCTTGGCCATGTCAGTTTCCTTCCTTTTCAAGAAATAGCCAACTGTGGATGGTGTTTCCTGCCCCAACTGGAAGGCTCCTGCCTGTCTTGTCAGAGGACCACATTCACAGGCCACCAGGAGTTGAACATGTGTCAGTAAAAGTGGACATAGGTAGTTTCCTACCTTCATTTCAAGTGCTAACATTATGCAGTGGACACTAGTCTCAGAAATGGTTCATGGACTAAATCACCTTCAAGGATTAAAGTTGTCCATTCACCAGAGATGTTAAGAGCAAGGGCTCAGGACTCAGACTGACCTGGGTTCAAATCTAGACTTTAGGTTTTTCTTTGGGGAGTTCAGTTTCCTGATGATCAAATGGGAATCATCTTATCCAACTCACAGGATTGTTGTGAGGCTTACAGGGTGTCATGTATGTGAAGCCTGCACAGTGTCCTTGGACTTGAAAATGCTCAAAAAATGGAAAACTATGGTTCTATGGTTAAGAACGTCCGAAAATATTTTTGCATTAGGACAAAAAAGAGAAATTTTCTTTGAAGACACTGTGCTTTAAAGAGAATGGATTGTCTAGGAGTCAACAATGCTCATGAATCAATGCCCTGTAGAAGATCATGAAAAAATAGTGTTGGCATTTAAAACAAAAGCTGTAGCTATGACCAGGCCCCAGGATAGACAGAGCGACAGGGCTGGGGACACCCAAGCATTTCTCTGAGCGCTGGTCCAAGAGGATTAATCCTGAAAGACACATTTCTGTTTCTCCTCTGCTGGACCCAGAGTAACTTGGATCTGGAACCCCAAGGAAGCCAAGACTAAGATGCCAGTTCTCTGGTCTGTGAGCAAGTGCTCTGGGTTTGAGGGAAGGTCAGGGGACACCTGGCTGCTGGACAGGAATGAGGCAGGTACAGTGCATTGCTGGGTGTGTCATGCAAAGCTAGAAAGGCAGCATCTCCTGTGCCACCTTGATCCTCCTTATACAACGCAAAGCCAACAGAGGATTTAAATTTCCCCACTTTTCTGCCCTGAGCATGAGACGACATTTTCTTATGCTAAGTTTGGTTTTAGTTTTGAAGCACTTGAGATGCACAATACAAACAGGTCAAGTTCCTGGCTTCTGATACTGATCAGACCATCCCTGATCGTCAGGCTGACTTGGCTTGCCCTCGCATCGGCCAACACTTACAGCTCTCCTATTCATCGTTCAAGTGGTTCCATGAAGACAGCTCAGGGGTAGTGTTCGGGGAAGTGCAAGCTAAGCCATCAGCCTTGGGAAGAAAGGTTAACTTCTATTGGCGGGGACAGGTCAACTTGTCTCGTTACTTTGAGCAACAGGGTAGGGACCCAAAATGGACAAGAGAAGCAAGATTTCTCAACGCAGCCGTATCTCCATTGCAGGAGATGGGCCTTCTGGGAAGAAATGGACCTTACTCAGGGGAAGTCTCGACCTGTTTGATTTAGTCTGAGCCTGTGAGAGCTCATAGCCCATTTCTTGCCTTCCTGCCCTGGGCTCAGATTGGTGGGCAACGTCCTGACAAAGGTGGCCCACAACTAGGCAGTGTTGTAAAGTGGAAGAGCACTAGACGGGGGGTCCGAAGACCTGAATTCTAGTGTGGACTCTGCCGCTAACTATCTGTGTGACCTTGGGCAGTCACCTGATTTCTCTGGTGTAACTGTAAAATGAGGGGTTGGTCGGGTGATCTCAAGTTCCCCCTCTGAGTGTGATCCCGGGTCCTATTCTATCCCTCCTTGGCCCTGTGCTTCCAGGGACAGAATTGGGAGAAGGGGAGGGGAGGAGGGAGAAGATGCAAATGGGAGTCCGTGGGTGCCACCGATCAGGACTCCACTTTCTCCTTCTTTTTGCTCTTTTTCAGGAAGGAGGGGGTGCGGAATTTCTTTTTCTTCTTGGAGGGAGACTTGGAGGGTGAGCCCTCTGGGGACATGGGGCCGCTGGTGACTGACTCGGTTTTGTCCTTGGAGGTATCGACGTCCGTGTCGGCGTTGGTGGTCATCTGGCTCAAGCCTCTGCTGAGGATTTCCTCTGCAGTCTGCTCTTCCTCCCTCCCGTTGACCACCACCCCTTCTGGCTGGGCTGTTTCGGGCTCAGTGGTGGCTTGGCTTGTTTCTGTCTCCTTAACATCTTCTAGAAAAAGAACAAAAGACACGACTGTAAGATTTCATTCAGATGAGAGTGTCCACTGGGGGAAAAAAACACTTCCGGTTCAGTCTAGAACAATGGTTGGGGAGGCAGACTGACACGGGGATGCAGAACAGGGCTCTCAGGCAAATGGGAGGACAAGGCTGTCATCCAAACACTGCATCCCTTTCTACAAGGCCTGCTCCTGCATCCTAGGTAGGACAGTGACCCTGGACTCTTGTCTACACACTGAACAGACATGGAGGTCAGAACATGGCAGGAACCCCAGCAGAGACTCAGCTCAGGACATTTCTAGGCACAGAGCTAGGGTCACACATGAGGGAGGAGAGAGGCTGATGGAAGGAGGGAATGTGTCCTGGACATCTCAGGGGAGGCATCTGAGAATCGCTGAAGGCAGAGCAGTTTCACTAAAAAAACCATGGAGGTTGCAGGTTTGTTTTACTTCTTACACCAGGCGAGCTGCTTAGGAAAATATGGAAAGTATCTTCCCAAGAGGAAGAGAGGAGAAGGCTGGGAGGATGGAATTCCCTGAGTGGTGTGGACCCTGCATTTCTATGATATAAAGGTTAGTCATAAGGGATCTACCCATCTAATGGCACCCGGGGATGGCCAGGTGCCATGTGCAAGGGCAGAGCTGCTCAGACCCCAGGAACTAAACCCTCCAGTGACCCTTCCTCCCCTCCCCACCCACAGCCCACCCTCTTTCCATGCAAGCTTTGGAATGCCGGCTCAAGAGGGAGGAGGGGAAATGTAAAACCACAGATTTTGAGAAGTAGAAGGCACTGTACAGGTCACCTGGCTCCCTCCTTGTTTCGTAACTAAAAACTGAGCAAAGCTGTAAAACGGTGGGTCAGCCTCGGTTCACTGACTTCTAGCCCAGTGTTGTTCTCACCGGAGCTCAAGGGAGCATCCGTGTGTAGCATGGGTGTGAGCTCCTGTGAGTGTGTGAGTACATGTGGTGTGAGGGTTAAGTGAGCTGCATGTGTGTGGGGAGTGTGGAGTGTAAGTGTGAGTGTGTGTGGAGGACGTGGCAGGTGTGGTGAGTGTGTTGTCACAAGAAGTCAGCCCCGCAGGGTCCTCCATGTGGGAATGTGGGCTCTGGGGGAAGGGACAGCCAGGGTCACAGAAGTGGGTGGAGAAAGCGTTCTAGAGAAGCGTGGGGTTCTGACGGGTGAACAGGGACACGTCTGGTTATGTGGAGGGTTACATGGAAGATGGGCTGGAAGGGGGACCTTAGGACAGTTAGGCTGGGCTGGATTAACTGCTTGGGCAAGATCTCCTTGTAATGAGGCCTTTGGTAACTTCTGAAACCGACAAGTCGAAGCCTTCTCCCGGACGCCTTCTGGAAGATTCCCTCCTGGCACCACAGACTTTGGTCACTGGCTCCCATTCTTTCCACTGCCCAGCCCACGTCCTCTCATCATCCAGCTGCCCAGTTCTCCAGCTCCTGACTCCCATGGCCCTTGCCCCAGTCCCCTCACCTCTGCCAGGAATTCCTGTGGCCATCACCTGGCATGCTCCTGAATGCCATCCATCAGTCTGGACACAACCTTCTGTCTATCAGTTGTCCCCATTGTACCTGCCATTTAGCCTCCTCAGCCTCCCAGCCCCTGCTGCCACCCCAGCCTGTTCTCTGCTCTCTGGAGGGCCCTTCTCTCTCCTCTCTGTGTCCACAACCTTCACCTCATGCACAGAGTCAGCTTGAATGTTTCATCTTCCTTAAGGTCCTTCCCGATCCCCATTTCCACTTCTTTGCTGTCTCCACTACTAGAATTTTTAATCACCATAATTATGAAACTATTAGACCTGGGTGGATTTTTTTATGCCTATCTCTTCCTCTTCTGAACTGAAATAATTTTGGGCAAGACTGTCTAATTATCTATGTAACTAGCTCCTAGAAGATACTGGGAAAATGGCTGTGGGAGTCCATGAATAATTGAACGCATGAGCAAATAATGAACATGTGAATGGATTTATGCTACCCAAGGCAAAGCCACCCCCTCATTATATTTCCTGTCTACTCCACCCTGAGCTTTCTAAGGATCCATCGTGTAATGCCACCCAGGTGCTACACTTCCTGACCCTCATCATCTTAATTCCCAATTGTCCTGGACCCTCCTCATCTTCATTCCCAATTGTCCTGGACCCTCATACCCCCACCCCATGGCTCTGCAACTTAAATCCAGAGACTCACGACAGGTGCCCACTTGAATGACACATAAGGATATATTCTCAAGCTTGATCCTTGGTGCTCTTCAAAATGACTTTGGGACTTGTTTTTTAGCTTCACAAATACAACTGTGGATCAGAAGGGCTTCCACTTTCTGTTCTAGTGTCATTTCCTGCCTGGCGATGACAAGGATTCTTACTCTTCCTGTGCCCTTCATGCGTTCCCCATCCATTTCCCTTCCCACACCTGCTCTGCCATCCACCTCAGCTACAACCTTGGCCTCTGGTGAGAGTCTTGGTTCACACCCACGTTCTTCTCACCATGTAGAAAACAAGGGCCACACCCAGTGTACCCACTCTGACCCCAGACAGCTCTCTGATGGTGAATTGGTTTGGTGGGTCGTGGCAAATGGAGTGTGGAGCTGGAGGAGCCAAACTGAGGTCGCCACTCCCTCAACTACAGGGACAGAGACCACGTGAGAGTTCTGTTGGCCAAGAAATGAAGCAGTGGTACAGGACTCCAAAAACATGTATGGGTCCCTGGAGAGGACTGGCTCTGAGAGTCTAGACCCTTCCTCTGTTAGTGACTCAGGGAGTAGGCTGGGAGAGACCCCGAGAACTAGGTGCAGGTGGGAGTTTACCTTCCAGCATCTGCCAAGAAGCATAGACTTTCTCTCCTGAGTGGGGTCCTTGGGACTCTGGGAATAGGGGATGGTGGGGGAGGCAGAGGGTGGAAAACTGGGAGCTATATCTAAGGATGGTGACAAGGTAGCTGGAGAGAACAAGGAGGAACTGAGATAGCACATGATTGGGAGCAAGACTAGACTCAGAGACCAGGTCTACTCCCAGACCCCACAGGGCTGCAGGACGGAGGGCTGAAAGACTTCCAGATTCCGAAAGAGAAGGCAGGCTTCTGTAGGGAGGTACAGAGCTTCCTAGATGCCCTGCTTCTCAGATTTGATTTCTCACTATCCCATAGTCTCCATCCACTCACTGCCTCTTGGTCCACCAGTGTCCCTTTGATGATTAATTCTACACGTCCACTTGACTGAGTTAAGGAATGCCCACATAGCTGGTAAAACAATCCTTGTGGGTATGTCTGTGAAGGTGTTTCTGGAAGAGATCAACACTTGAATCGGTAGACTGAGTAAAGGAGTTGTACCCTCATCAAATAAAGTTGGGCATCATCCAATCTGTTGAGGGTCCAAATATAACAAGAAGGTGGAGGAAGGAGAACTCTCCTCTTGAGCTGGGACATCCATCTTCTCCTTCCTTCATACACTGGAGATCCTGGTTCTCAGGCCTTCAGACTGAGGGTGAATAAAGCCACTGACTTTCCTAGTTTGCCAGCTTGCAGACACTCAATCATGAAGCTTCTCAGCCTCCAAAATCATTCCCTAGTAAGTCTTCTTTTATATGTCTACATATGCCCTATTAATTCCATTTCTCTGGAGAACTCTTATACAGTCACCTCCCAAGAATGTCCTTTCTCCCTGCCTCCTGGTTACCATCTCTGGACAGCCTACCCGACTACTATTTGCGAATCCAAGTATATATGTCCCCAAAGTCTGGCTCAAGACAGCTTGTGCATCTGCCTGGTATTTGACAATGACCTTGCCCTCTTCTAAACCTACTGTTCACATAATCATTTTGCACTTGCATGCATCACTCATCTTTTCTAAGACCTCATTTACCACCCTAGTAGACCATTCAGGACAGAGACTGTCTTACTTCTCTGGCAGCCATCATCATCCAGCTCAATGATAACATGTACAAGCCTTTTTCCAGGTGAGGCCAGATGAAGGTCAACAGAGGATACCTTGCTTCTCCTCAGCAGCCAAATCTTCTGTGCCCACACACTGGAGTGAGGACATGGGGAAGGACAGAGGCCTCGCCTAACTACAGGAGCAAGGATGCCTTTCCTCGCTGGCCTAATGAACCTGGCCTTCTAACATCTCAGGGTCAAATTCCATGACCCCTGGCCCCAGCCCCACAACTACAATGGCCCTCTCTCTGCAGGAGGGTGGACACCAGAGGAAGGGCCCTGAAGCAGAATTTTCTGATTTGCTTCTAAACTCAGGGTCAACCAGACAGATCATCAACTGTATCCAAAATGCATAGAAAGTTGGTGACTGCCATCTGCTGTTTTTGTTTTCCTGCTGAGAGAAAGCTCTTCTTCTGTATAAAGAACCAAAAGAAAGGTTCATAAAAACCTTGAAATAAACATCTGTGGTCTATGCCAACACAGAGCTGATTGTGTGGCAGCAATCAAAATATCCCACAGGGTGCTCAAGGGACAGAGCAGGGGAGCCAAAGACCAACAGCCAGAACTGCCCCATGGCAGATCAATAAATTGGATGCTGTCCACACAGATAGGTTTGCAATAGTGTTTCTGCCCTTGTTTCAATTTTTGAAAAAACATCAGTGAAAGAATTGCAGAGAGCCTATGAAAATACAGCTTCCCTGTATTGTCTCCATGATAAGACTGAAACAGATGGTGGGCCAAGAAATTTACATTTTTTAACAAGTCCTCAGATAATTCTAGTGCAAAAGACCCATGGGTCACACAGTGGGAAACATGATTTTAGAATGGTATAGCTCCTTCCATGTCTACCCACCCCCCAAAAGGGCTGAGACAGCACCCCTGATAGGAGAGAAAGTAGAGCTTCTTATAACCAGGGGCAGGTGGAGTCTCTGTGACTGCCATGCACACTCCACAGCCAGGACACAGAAGCTCCCCTGGACACCCGAATATACTTTCAGTGTGTGGTACAGCTGGTGTGCAAACACGGCCCCTGTGAGTGATGCCTCCAGGTATTCACGTGCTTATGTAGACCCCGTCCTCCCTGAGTCGAGGCTGGCCCCATGGCTCACCATAACCACTAGAAGACAAAGTGCTGCAAAGCTAGCCTCATGCCAAAGACTAAAGTAGGACGAGAAACTACTGCTTTTATAGTTTCGTATAAAGTCCAACGACCCTGATGGAAACATACAGAAAAGCCACATGGAGAAGCCCTGAAACCACATGGATTGGGAGGAGGGAGAAAGGAAGAAAGGGTGTGTGTGTGTGTGTGTGTTAGGAAGAGGGAGGAAGGGAAAAAGAGACCCAGACACACCAGTGTCCCAGCTGAGTCCAGTTTTCTCTTGGCCTCTGTCAAGGTACCATACACATGAGTGCACCAGCAGGTAAGTTCCAGTCTAGTCAAGCTCCCAGCCACCTGCAGCCTCAGCCCGATGTCATATGCAGCAGAGGAACCATCAAGCTAAGTCCATCAATCCACAGGAGAACTAATTTCCATAAAACCAGTTCCTATTATGTGCCATGATTTAATAACTATCTAGTGCTACCCCAAAACTTAGAGGCTTAAAAGTCAAGTGATGTATATTAGTTCTCACAATTCAGAGAATATGGTACGTAATAAAACCTAATTTATGTAAATACCTTACAAAGGACTTTTATATTCCTTAGGTTCTTTTATCCTGGCAACAGCGCCGTGAGTTAGGAAGAGCAAGCATTTGTGTTGTTCCCCCATCTGCAGTGTTTTTAAGTGACATATTTAAGATGACTAAATTATTCAGTGGCAGAGCTGATGATGTGATGTCAAATACAGGATTGTGTCTTTGCTGGCCCAGTCAGTGGCCCTGAGGGGTTGCTGGAGGATGGAATTGGCAGGGACAGGGGACAGTCAGTAAAGAGTCAAAGAGAAGATGGCTCAGATGGCCAGATGTAACAGAAGAGGATTTGAAAAGAGTCTCCTTCAGAGAAGCTGATGGAGAAGGAATCTGGGACACAGATAAGGAATAACGCTATGGTAACTCATGGGGATTTAAGAGCACGGTGACAAATGGTTGTAAAAAACCACTCCTGATCTGACTGGCTAGCTAAATACGAGAGTGCAGATGCCAGCCTGTCTGCCCTGAAGGACTAACCACCCACTTCACATGGGTCACCCCACCCAACTGAAGCTCATGCCTTCATCATGCAGGGTCTGCTCCAAGGTAGCCATGCTTCTCAGCTCTGTCTGTGGCACAAGATGTGCCTTCAGAGAGACTGTGACTCTTCTATCAACTCAACCTCAGTGTCCCCTCCAAGGGCACGGATTTGGACCAGAGAGAATGAGGAGTCCTGCCACAGTGGGTATGATGTCAGGAGTTGGGTAAACAGTTATCCCATCCATCACACACCCTCCTGCCTTCCATCCCTTCCAGGAGCTGATAACAAAGTGCTTCTCTTTGTCCCATTCCTACCATGAGCCTCTTCTCCAGCCTCAGATTTCCTTCCTACAACTGGTACACACATCCTCATAGGTGCTGAGGGCTCTAATCAGGCCCAGCCTTCTGTGCCTCCCCATGCGGTAGCTCCCTTGGGGCACTCAGGCTCTGGTCCACAGCCCTAGAAGAGGTCACCAGCTCCTCAGAGGTACTCATGCACTAGAACAGAGGCGGAGGTGAGCTCCTGAGGGCCACGGGCACTCTACCGCAGGGAGAGCTGCCCCACAGCCCTCAGCGCGGGTGCTTGTTGCCTCTGGGTGTGTGTGCTCTGTGTGTACATCTGTGTCTCCCTCAGGGAAGCCTAGTCTATGCATAGTGCAGGTGGAACTGGTCATGAATTTTATATCCAGAAAAACCGAGGAAGGCGGGGGTGTGAGTTGCAAAAGAAAAAATTGGGAGAAATCTATTTCTTTTGAAAAACTCCTCCCTCCCCCGTTGCCAGTGTCGGCATGAGTTAGTAAACAGCCTTTCTATACTTACTACAGAGACAAGTATTCAGAATCGGAGGAAACTCCTTTGATGAAGGCACAAATGGGAAGAGAAAGGAAGACGTTGTGGAGACAGGTTGACAACACGACACCATGATGAGACACAATGAACACAGACCACTGGGGACATCCACTTGGGGCTCTGGCCTCAAGCAGATGGGTTTCCTCTGACAATTCTGGGCCTGTGCTCGAGAGAGCCGACTGGCTTAGGAGAGAACTCAGGGGTGGGCGGGGGTGGGGATTCTATCTGAGTCCACATATGTGGCATCTACCCAGGAGAGAGAAGATCCCAGCTGCCACCCTGCTCTCTGGATGGCAGGGCAGCCTGTCTGGCGGTGTCTCTGGGAGTCTCAGGGGACCCAGGGAGGAGTGTTTTATATCCTGGAGTGATTCCAGGAGCTCCTTAAAGATACCTTTATGATTGAGGGACTTTAACAGTATCAGCGTCTACCATATGGATATTCTTATTCATAACATGACTAGAGCTTACATTTAAAGCATGCTTTTATTCTTTTAAAGTATGTCTTCATCTATACTTCCTTTAAACATGCAAGAACCTTAAATAGGGAGAAAATAAGAGTAGCCCCATTTGGCAGACAAGGACATGGGGGAACAGAGAGGTTATCTGATTTGGTAAAATTAGCAGCTTAGATGTTATCAGTTAGCAGTTCAGATGGTTCTAGAACTGGGTTCTCGATACTACTGTCTCTCTAATGAAGTGGTTCTCAAACTAGTCTACGTTCTAGACCCCCCTGGAGAGCTCTTACAACTCCAGGCTTCAGGCCCTCCCATGCCCCAGCCCACCCAGGTCCTCTAATTCATAGCTGCTGTGGGTGGGATCTAAGCCCAGTGAAGGCAGAGAATGACATCATCAGCCTCACCCTGGGAAATGCAGAGTCTCAGGCCCTATCCCAAACCTAATGGATCAGACTCTTCATTTGAACAAGATCCCCAGGGAGTCCCCTATGCACATTAAAGTCTGAGAATTGGGCTTAGCACATCTGCAAAATCCCACTAGCCAGCTGTGTCTCCACTGCAGCTGAGGAGACTACGGGTCAGTCTTTCATTCAGCTTTGCTTGGCAGGGCTTAAGCTGCAAGGTGTGCTGTCAGAGTTTATGAATGAAACAAACTGAAAATTATTCAGATTTCCTAGAAATAGCAGAGGGGAAAGTTTTTCAAATGGTGTGTGTTGCGGGGGGGTATTACACCTGTTGAGAGGCAGGTGCCCAGTGTGCCTAGCTGTCCTGCCATCCACGCAGACACCTCTCCCAGCTTGTGGATGCTCCCCCCACCCCCACCTGCTCAGCTCCACTCACCCTCTGCAGACTTGGAAGGAGAGACCACTGGGCTCTTTGTCTCTGCCTTCACTGGGCTCTGTGCTGGAGAAGCAGGTGCCGACTTTTCAGGTGAGCCTGGCTCTTCTGTGGCAGCCTCCTTCTCTCCTGAAAACACAGAAAAGCACCTCAGCACCGGGATCAAATACTGGCCAGATAGGCAGAGAGAGAGGATGTTAGCCACGCTGCCATTTTCTAATTGGTCATCATTCCTCCTGGCGGAAAATGAACCTCCTGGCTGAGGTCAGCCAGAAGCTCCCGCTCCTGCTAAGCTTTTATTTCTGCTGTTTCCTTGGGGAGGAAAATGGGAGAAGAGTGATCTTGTTTCTTTCATCAAAGCTTATGTACCAGTGCAACAGGTCATTCCCGAGTGGACAGCAGAATGCCCCCTCCTCTCTGTCCTGTCTCTGAGGAGGACCAGCCAGATAGACACATCCATGGGCAAGCGCCAGCCCCAAACAAACACTGACTCCCTTTAAAAACACCCGTGATTTCTTTGTGTGTAGCTACTTTGTTAACTCAGCTAATTTACATGTCCTGTCCAAACAATCCCTAGGGATAACAAGCCCCATATTTTTCTGTTCTTCCAGTTGGTCCATGAGAACTGCAAGCCAGCCAGGCAAGCTTCCATTTTGTGCTTTGGAAGAAGGCGGACCCTGGGTGAGGAGAGGTGGCGGAGAAGGACGCTGCCCTGATGAATGACAGCTTACCCTAGTGGACACTGCCAAGGGCTGAAGTATGTCTCAGATTCCGGGTGTTTGTAAAGCAAAAAAAAAAAGGGGGGACGGCTCAATTTGGCTGGAGTGGGGAAGGTGGCGGGGAGGCCTTCTTGGCTGGAGGGGGATTTGAGAGGGAGCTGGCAGTATTGATGACTTTAGATCAGGCTAGCACGAAGGGAAACAGTGCCTGGAGGGGACACAGGCATGGACCAGGGCACGCATCCCATCACATATCTGGAAGTCAATATGGAGAGACAGGTTTGAGTGAAGACTCTGAAATAAAGGAGGAGTTAGAAAAGACATAAAAGTGCCAGGCTCAAAGGCTTACATCAGGCCTGACAGGTCATTAATGATAATTATGACTCTTATTCCGGCTAACGTTAAGCTGGTGTTTGCCAACCTAAGCCATATTTACAGGCACTATTCTAAGCACTTTACACAAGCTAACTCTTTACACGGAGGTGAAAGGGCAAATGAGGTCATGCAGCCACCATGTAACTGTGAAGCACAGAGCAACAGAGGCATTACTGGAATTAATAAATAAGTGGAATATTATTTGGTGATGGGGCAGGAAGTCCTCCCTGGGTGGTCCTGAGCTCTGCCCTCTCCCCTGGGAGATTTCCAAGCCATGATGCCCCAGGGTTACTTACCATCCAGTTCTAGTTTCTTCCTCTCCACCTCTTTCTTGTACTCCTCCAGCTCCTGGTCGGTGAGTTGGCTGAAGGGGTTGGGCACCGTCTCCTCTGAATCATCTTTGGTATCCGCATCACCCTTGGACATCAGCTGGCTCTCTGTCGACTGAAAGTTAACCACAGAGTGTGTGTCGCTCTCTGAACGCCGCAGATGGGGCCCGAGCCTGGGCCTCCTTTCACACTCAGGTGGCTGCCAGCAGTCTTGCTAGCCATAGCGTGGTGGCATGCAGCTCCTTGGAAACAGCTCAGGGCCTCGTGGTAGGGCTTGTTCATTCCTCCCCACTGCTACCTCATCACCAGACCCAGATTTTGCAACTGCCTGAATGAATAATACAGGGAGGCCACTCTTTGCCCCTGAAATAAAATCAAAGGATGCTCCCAAGCAGGAGGAAGACACACCTTTATTGCAATCCCTTCTACGGACACTTCCAAGCCATTACTACGTAAATGTACAGTCAGTGGCCCAAAGTCAGTAGGCAAGCCCAAGCCTAGCAGGCAGAGTGTTGGCTTGAGCAAGCTTCATGCCAGCCATTCCCCACCAGAGCCCCTGCCCACCCCCCAACAGCAGTGCAAACCCAACACACAGCAGTAAACACAGCAAACACAGCAGCCGCAGCATTCTCAGTCCAAGCCAGGAGTTCTGTTTTGCGCATGGTCAAAGGTTACAAAGGGGCAAAGGTCCTGAGTCTCAGATTCCCAACCTGCAGGTACCTTCAGGGACACTGGCAAAATCGCTCCATTTCACCACCCCTGTGAGACCCTTGGCTCTAGAGAGCTAATCAACCAGACACTGTGAGCCTCGGGAATCCTTTGGCTACTCTTGCCCAAAATAGGGACTAAAATCCAGACTCCATTGCCCTTCGTCCTAATTGAGCATCCTCATCATGGCCTTTAAGAATTCAGTGCTCTAGAGCAAAAGAAAGTGAAGCCCAGGGGCACTGAACCCAGGGTAGCCAGGTCTTCTGACAAGAGGCCCAGGGGGCTCCTTCCCAAAGGGAGGCGGAGGTAGGCCTATGGCAGGAATCAGTCAAAGGAGCCAGATTCTAAGATGAGGGACTGGTTTTCAGCAATTTTGCTTGCTGTATTGACCTTTCACCTCCCCCAGAATCATAGACTATTTCCATCCTTGACCCTGTGGCATGTTCAGTGTTCTTCATGTGGCTGAATTCGGGTGGGTGGGAGTTGGATGTAAGGATGTAACATTCACACTTCTCCTGGCAGTGAACCCCCACTTTGTGGGCTGCTGCCTGATCTGAAACCATCACATCATCTCAATTTTCTTTGTAGAGAACATTTTCTGGACTTCCCCACTTTTTACTAAAGAAAATGCCACGCCCATTGCTGCCTTGCCTTGAGCAGCAATGACTTCAAACAAGCCAGAATTATGAACTTGCTAAACACTAGACAAGAAAGATGTCATTCTAGCTCAAGCACTCAAGCACCAAAAAAATGACTTTGCCAGGCACTGTGGCGCATGCCTGTAATCCCAGCAGCTTGGGAGGCTGAGGCAAGAGGATTGCAAGTTCAAAGCCAGCTACAACTTACTGAGGCCCTTTCTCAAAATAAAAAATAATGATAATACTGAAAAGGGCTGGGGATGTGGCTCAGTGGTTACGCATCCCTGGTACAAAAAAATAAAAAGAAAAAAACACCAAAACAAAACAATGACTTTATGCTTCCTTAACCTAAGTGGGGTTGTGTGGGCAACTGACTGCCCTTCCTTCCCTTTAGGAGCGCACACCCTGTGTCCACACCCTCTGGGGGTCAGGAGCATCTTCCCAGAACTCTGGCCAGATGATGCCATATCCACACACAGAGGTCAGAAACACTCAGGGTCGTGCAAGCCTGGTGCACCTGAGAGCCACCAGCCCTCCACAGGGTACTAACAGAGGCCTGAGCAGGGTACCAGGGTGGAAGGTATGGAGCTGGCCAGCCACACTCCCAAGAACAAGCTGGACAGCAGCTTCCCTGCCCAGTGCCTGCAGAGGGCAGGTAGACACTGTCCTCCTGGGACCTCACAGCCCCCTTGAGTGGACCTCCATTCTGCAGCAAGAGCATGGATGCCCAAGAGCACAGAGGAGGATGGGCATGAGGACTCAGAGGTCCTGCTGCCCAGCCCCAGGCACCAAAGCCCCAGAAGGCAAACACGTCTCCCCTCCAGCCAGGGGCAGACTCTGCTGTACCGGGCTTCGGCTCTTCTCAGCAATGACGCTGGCCAGGAGCTGGGACTGAGGCCCCGCCGACTTCACATCTTGCCGATTCTGTTCTCGAATCTGTGTGGAAAGGAGAGAAGGAGGGTGTGGCATCAGAGTGTGGAGCTTGTCAGGGGGCCTACTGGGATCCAGTGTGGTCTGTGACTGGAATCTAGAAGGGCCCTGCAGGGTGAGGGAGCCCATCCCCTATAAGAGAAAGTCCCCAGGTCTGTTCCAGAGTGAATTCACAGTTCATATAAATACCAAGTTCATTAAATCAGAGAAGCAGCTGTGAGGACAAGAAGAGGGAAGGGGACACAGAGGGAGGGTCTCAAATTTTAATATTCCTAAGAAGCCCATGAGAGGGAGTGAGAGGGAAGGTAACTTAATACAAGAGACATGTATTTTAAATATAGATTCATGACCCTCCCCATACATACACCTACTGAGTCTGAATCTTGATGGGGCGGGGGGGGGGGGGCGGTGCAGTGACCCAGGAATCAGACAAATGCTGTAGGGAGATTCGGCCACAGGCTGAACACCATTCTGGGCTCTACTGGCCCGTGGGCAGCCAGAGCTCAAGTTTTAAAGTATCATTAGAAATATGAGTGAATTATCAGGTGAAGGTCCAGAAATAAATATCAAGGTTCTCAAAGTCTTAAAAATAAGACAAATGGCATAAAATGTATAAAAACTCTCATGTAGTGGGTGGGTCTTGCAGACATACCCAATGAGCAATGCCCACAGCCCGCTGTGGGAGGGGCTATCTAGGACTCTCTTCGCTATCTTGGCATGGTGCCCACAACATTGTCCATATATGGTAGATTCTTTTTTCTGTGGCACATCCGGGGTGCAAGTAAGGTGGGCATGTCTGGGAACTCAGCCTGTGTTTGCAGGACTGAGATCCCTTTGCGACATGAGAGAAAACGAGGCCAGCAGACTCCACCTTACCTTGTTCCTCATGTCCAGCACTTCTTGGGGGTCGGTGTAGAGAGGCACAAATTGGTTGGGGTTTTCAATCCGGATTGGCATGCCACTGCTGGATTTCTCCACCTCATCAGCCTTCATCCACTGTATGAGGCAAGGCCAGGTGGGTAAGTTAGAGGATCAGGGCCCACAGACCCTCCCCAGTAGCCTACCCCTTGTGATCTGGGCCCACCAGCCTATGCTGAAGTTCAGAATTATTCATAGATGTTCTCTCTTCTTGGGCCCCTTTGATGCTGTGACAGATGACCTGGCTGCCAAAGAAGGCCTTAGGTCATAACAAACACTGGAGGGTAGGGATCAGAACCTTGTTAACCAGCTTAGACAGGTGACCACTTGGGTTTCAGCATTAAATAACAATTTGAGTTTCAAGGGCTTGGTGGAGAGCTATTCTGTATGGCTGCCAGCTACTTTCATGTTAACAAAAAATCAAATTGAGAGTCTGTGTGTCTGTGAGAGAGGAAGAGGAGGAGTGAGAGGGAAGGTAACTTAATACAAGAGACAAGCCCCCTGACCTCTTGGCTTTGCCTCAAATTTACAATTGAAATGTTGGATATTTATCCCTGGTATTTCCCAGCAACCCCCTCTGGACATGAGACCAAGAAGTAAAAAAAAATCATTTGTTCCAGGGGACAGTAGCCTAGTCCAGCTGCCCTCTAGAGAAATTTGCCCCTCAGACCAAAAATTTAGCACAGAGATGCAAGAAAGAGGTGGTCAGGCCAGGGGTGGGAAGTGTTGAGCTGTTGTTCCCAGAGGCCCCACAAGAAGCCCTGAGAGGAAGCTGCACAACCTTGGGTTCTGGGGCCATTTGTTCTGCTCCCTTATAAAGCTTGTTAACCCCCACAAATGCAGCAGTCCGTCCCGGCTTCCCCCTTACTGTGGTCTTGGGCCGGGGGCTGCCCATGCTCCTCTGGACCTCGTCAGCCACATTGACCCGCAGGTAGGTATTGGGCGTGTTGAGCCAGCGCGTCTTCTCCTTCTGCTGTTTCTGGGCATGCTGTCGCAGGGCGGGGACAGGGGCACCATCCTCCTCAAACACAAAGGCAGTGACCGTGGCTGGGATCTCCACCTCACTTTTGTGTTTGGTTTTCTCTTGAACAAAGGGGTGGCGGTACGGGTAGCCTGTTCTGTAGCCCTAGAAAGGACAAAAATAGAACCACTCATTGTAGAGGAGGAAGATCAGAATATGTACTTGTGTTTGTGAACACACACATGCACACACACACACTTTGCCCCATTCCATTTATAGACTGTTTCAACTCAAGTTTCCATAAGACAACCTAGGTGTGGCCATTCTCCTAAGGTATTTCAGAATTGTTTGCTCCTAAGGGTCTCCAATCAGGACTGAGAAAATTCCTAGGACCTTGTGGTCCTCCGAGTATGGACACCTACAACTCTTTACCCACACAGAGTCCCCAGTTTCATCCACTCTGATAATGACTCTCAACCCTGGCTGTGCACTGGGATCCCGGAGGGGCTTCAAAAAATACTTTTGTCTGGGGCCCTAATGCAGAGCTGTGGACTTGATGGGACGATTGCCTGGCCTCAGCCACAGAAACGTTAAAAGCTTCTCAGCTTATTCTAAGTCACCCCTCCCTTCCTCGACTCTGAAGCTTCTGAACTCCTCCTGGAGCCCTGAGATTGGACTCAAGAAATTTTTGTCTCCTTAAGCAAGATCACGTCCCCACAGGCAGAACTGACCACAGATCAGTGGGAACAAACACTCCGGAAATTAGGCATCTGCCAGAGCGATATTTGGCTCTCCTTGTCTTCTTCTTCTACTACTTTTTAAAATTAAAATGACATTAAGGTATTTTCCCGATTATAAAGAAAATATGGGCCCATGTAAAAAAAATTAAGCAACAATACAAAAAAAATGAGGAAAAATGTGAATTTCACAAAAGATAACCACAAAATTGTTTTCTGGTCTTCTCAGTATTTATATGTGGGTATGTGTACATTTGATTATTAATAAAATTGAATCGTTTTCATTACATATATTGGCCACTTGAAGTCTTCCTTTATAAATCATTATGCTCCCAGCTCATTTCCTGTTGAGCTGGTTTTTTCCTTTGCACACTGATACACCTCTTTTAACACTAAGAGCATTAATCTTTGGCTGTCAACTGATGTCACAAACATCTTCCCCCTTCATTTGATGTTCAGCTTTGTCTATGGCAGGGGAATGATTTACCAAACTGCAAGTTTTTAATTGTCTCATGGAATCATACCTGTCAATATTTATTCTTACAATTTCAGACTCTTGCCATGCTTGACAAGGTCTTTCCCAATGTTTTTAATACCTCTGTGAATTCACTTTTATATTTAAACTTTTGATAACTTGGGATTTTATCTTATTGAAAGTAATAAAGTAGCCATGTTCTTTCTCACATGGCCAGAAGTCTACCTTTTTCCTCACTGATTTGTACAGTGCCTGCTACCTCTGTGAATTTTCATGTATTTTGGGTCTATTTCTGGATTCTCTAAGCTGTCACATGGGTTTGCTTGTCCAAACTGTTTAGGAACTGCTCAGTTACTAAAGCTTTATCCTACTTTACCATGGGGTGGAGCTAGTGACCCTAATTATTTCTTTTTATAGCATTTTCCTAGTCATTCTGAATTTCACATTGAAAGTATTTTTTACGTCCTTTTACCTTCCCTAGTTTTGGACAGAATCACATTCAGTTTGTAGATTGATCTTGGGGTTGTGACCTCTTTACCTATGAACAAGCATAAATTATATTTTTTTTTCATTGATTTTAACTTTTCTGATGTCTACTGTTAAAGTTTTGTGGTTCCCTTTAAATGAGGTTTGCTTAATGTTTATGAATCTGTTGCCTTTGAGAATACGATTTTTCTATTATATCATTAGCTATTTTGTGCGTGTGTGTGTGTGTGTGCGTGTGCGTGTGCATGTGTGGTGCTGGGGATCAAACCCAGGGCCTTTACATCACACATGCTAGGCAAGTGCTCTATCACTAAGTTACATCCCTAGCCCCCATCATATTTTCCAAGTAGTTAACATAAAGATACAAAAATTAATGATTTTTGTATATATTTTCAAAACTGACCACCTTAAAATACCCTCTTTATTTCTAATTTTTTAGTTGATTTTTGGGGAACTCTCTAAGCAGGTAAGCATATTATCTGTTCCAAATAGTCATCTTACTTCCTTTACAGTATTTATGCCTCTTATTCTCATATCTCACTGCCTGGGATTGAGTTCAATATTATTCCAGAACAATATTAAGTAATTGTGCTAAAAGTGGGAATCATTGTTTATTTCAAAGTTCCTTGGAATACTTCTATGGTTTTACCATAATATTGGCTCTTGTTTTGAGAAAAATCATTTTAATCATGTTAAATAAGCATCTTCCAGTTCTAACTGGTAGATAATATTTTTATAAATTGATATTAAATTTTTATCCATTTTTTAATATTTTAAAATCTTCAAAAAGGTTTCATCCTTTGGCCCTTTGATATTGGGAAATATATTTAAAGTCTTATAATATTCAACCATGCTTGAATTCTGGGAATCAGCCCTGACTTAGTTAATGGGTATTATTATTCTAAATTATGTTCCATACTACTTGCTAGTTTTCAGGCAATATTTTTCATCCATATTCAAAGTAAATTAGTCTGAATGTAATTGTTATGGATTAGTATCTCTTATGAATATTAGGTGTCCTCCAAAAGCTCATGTATGAGAAATGCAAAAAGGCTTAGAGGTGAAATGATTGGGTTATAGGAGCCCTAACCCATGCCTTAATCCCATGCCTTTGGGGCATATATTTTGTATCTGGTGAGTGGAGTCTCTCTGCTTCCTGGCCATATCCTGAGCCATTTTCCTCTGCCATATTTTTCTGCCATGATGTTCTACTTTACTTCAAGCCCTTAGAAATGTGGTCGGCCATCTATGATCGAAGACCTCTGAAATCATGAGCCGCCCAAACATACTTTTCCTCCTATAATTGTTCTTGTCAGATCTTTTAGCCACAGCCGTGAAAAAGGTGACTAAAACAGTATCCTCCTTTCACTCTTCTTTGACACCATTTAAATAGCATGAGAATTGTCCATTTCCAAAAGGTTCGAAAGAATTCCTGTACAAAACCATCTAGTCCTGATGCTTTATTCAGGTGGAGATTGCTCAGTGCACAAATGGCAGAAAGAACGGCATTTTCATTGTGGACTGGACCTTTCATCATTACAAAGTGACCCTCTTGATCAATCTGGTAATAAGGTAAAGATGACTTGGAGGAAATGAAGGCAAGAAGAAGAGATTTAATTATCACAGTGGTCTTGACGTGATAAAGGGGGCCTGAGGAGGTAGCAGAGGGAACAGGGAAAATGAACCAGATGGAAGTGCTAGGAGGACAGATTTCATCTTTTCCATCTGTGAGCAATCGAAGAGGTTATTGTCTCCTGCAGCATTTAACCCCTTCATTTTAAGTGCTTTCCTCTTGTTCTTAAATTTTCTCCTGCTCATCAACTAAATTGTTAGCCCCTAGAAGAAGGAAGAATGTCTAAAATTTTTTTGGTATCCTTTAACGAAGCAGACCGCTTCTAGACACATACCAGTTTAATTCCTTACATGATCGATTCATCACTGCCACAGAATATTCTTATAAAGGATAAGGAAATTAATAATATTCTGTGCTTTCTGCATTGAAGTCATAAGATTAGACAGGCAGGACTAACTACTTAAGAGGGGTGAACTACGCCCCAATACGACAGCAGCTCTGACTGTAAGAAGACGTGCTCTGATTTTTGCTGGATTACTATTTCTTATAGTACTGTGCAGATATGACATCCACAGCCCTTAGTAGGGAGTGGCAAAAGCCATCACTGAAGAAAACTCAACTATTTTTAAAAGGGCCACACATGCCAAGTTAAACTGCCCATCAGTGAAGCCCTCAATGACTTGATCGTGATGTTGTCAGTTTCTGTGCCACCTCATGCCTTGCATTGCCTGGTTCCAGGGGTGAAGGTTCCAGGCACTAGCCTGGAAGGGCAATGGCAGGGGACTCACCAGGTTGTCCAGCATCCTCATGAGGGCTTCAAACTCGTGCTCCCCCAGCCGGCTCTTCTGCATGGGCCCAAAAGTACTCCCAGCCCACTGCACAGAGCCGACCTYGTGGGGCCGGTGCTTCTCCTGCTCCAGGAGGATGAGGTTCTCCACTCCCCCAGCGCTGGACAGAGCTGACACCTGCAGCAGAAGCAAAGAACCCTCAACCCATGTGCATACAGGGGCCCCCACACTTGCCTACGCTTCTGCATGACATAGGACATTGAGGGCCACGGAGGTGAACTTAGAACTAGAAATATCCGGGAAACTGAGGAAAAGCCACTCAAAACTCATCGGACATGCAACTATTTCCGGGGAATGAGATATTAGTAATTACTTTGCTAATTTCAGTTTTTAGAGACCGCAGAGAAGAAGCAAAAAAATAGCAAGTGTTAAACCTTAGGAATAAAATAATACAGGGAACTGAAAATTTACCTGGGATACAGACCAACTTAGAATTGTGATTATTTCTGAGGAGGCAAGATGAGATTGGAAATGGCTGTAAAGGGAACTTCCATTCTTGTCTGTAATAATTTATTTCTTCAAGAGTTAAATATTTGAATCAAAAAAGTTATTAATATATTTGTTAAATCTTCCAGGTGCAGTGGTGCATGCCTATAATCCTAGCAACTTGGAAGGCTGAGGCAGGAAGATCACAAGTTCAAAGCCAGGCTCAGCAACCTAGCTAGACCCTGTCTTAAAAAGTCAAAAGGGCTGGGGATGTCATTCCTTGGGACAGTGCTGTGTCTCTGGATTCAGACCCTAGTACAATCTGAGTGATGTATGTCTATTGTTATTCTCTTTATTTTTTTCTGTATTTAAACACTTTCTCTGTCTCTGTCTCTGTCTCTCTCTCTCTCTGTGTGTGTGCGCACGTGTACGCACACATGCATCCAGTCACTTGAAAAAAAATAGCACAGCTTTTAGACCAGTGAAAATTGGTCTAAAGTGTAACCTGATGGGAAGAGTTAACAGGTCTAAATAAAGAATGCATCCTCCATGATAGGGTTAGCCAGACAATGAAATCCCAAAAAAGAAGACAGGTGAAGTATCACTATATGGCCAGGTCCGGTGCATGGGGCTAGACAGCTTTCATCCATGGACTTGTAGGGTTTGTCCCACCGTCAAAGCTCTGTGGGGAGGGGATGATGCAGGTGGTTGCAGGTCATGGATGTGGAGTACTGGGAGAAGAGGTATGTGTATAAAGCAGGCAGTTTTAGAATAATCCTATAAAAACACATTTACTCACTTAACTAAACTTATTTTCCAATTCCATGCTTATACTACTGTTATATTCTATGGACTCCCACATACCTACCACTCAGATATAGCTGGTCAGGATTTGGATGGATCAGTCTGGTTACAGAGATGGAGAGTGGCTTCTGAGTAGTCTCACTAGTGAGTCAGTGTCCCATGCTACCCATTAATAAATGCATCTACATCTTGAGGAAGACTGGATACCACACATAAGCCTGTTTACTACAGGGGAGCTGCCCTAAGCACATAAACTTACAGTGTGCTGGCATTTTGTGACTTATATTTTTTACTGAAAATGAAAGGATCCATTTATCCTGCTGACAAATAAACGCAAGCCTATAAATCCATGAGGGTCTGGACAGCCTGAGAGTGTGTGACATTCCAGGGTCAACTGCGCACCCTGTGCTACTTCTTGAAGCTCAGCCAGGTAGGTTTACCAGGTGAACCCCATCTCCCTGGGAAGAGCCGGAAGTGAGAACATATTCCACACTCTTTTCACCCAAGACACATACCCATATGCCCATGTGACAGTTCCCACTGACCCTTACTGCCCTGGAAAGGAAATACAGGGTAATATTTAAGGGCACGGAGTTGGGTGCCAGGTTGTCTGGGTTTGAATCCCTGTCACTTCCTTATCGTGTGACTTTGGGCACTATTTGTCATCTTTGTGCCTCAGTTTTCTCATCTGTTAAATGAAAACAGCAATGCCTACCTTGTGAGGAATCTTCAAGGCAATGATTGTAAAGCACTTAGAATAGCCCCTGGTCCCTAAGGAGTGCCACATGAATGTTGCTGATAAATGAACTCTGAGATGCAACATCCCCCTCAGACTGGTCATTAATGGAGGAGGAGGAGGGAGGGAAAGAATGGCCCATAACCTTGCAAGGGCTGCCTCCTCCCACCTCCCTCTTCCTCCACCAGTTTCCATGGTGATGGGTAGCAGATGGAGAAGAACTGCCTGTGCATCTTCCCATCTGCCTGTCAGCAGAGCAGGGAACTGCCTCTCTCAGCTAGGGATGACCCAGTTTTCTGGAACCCCAAACTGTTGGGGAGTAAAGAGTTCCCAGGAGAGCTGAACAGGCACTCAGCCTTTAACTATAAACATGACCACAGCCACGTCTGCTTGTTTACCCATGTGACTGAGGGAGAAAACAAGGCCCAGGGTGGAAACAGAGCTTCGGCACTGCCCCCTCTACCTCACATGACCCCAGTACAATCCCTGTAGCAGATCGCTGCTACCTGTGCTTTCCCGCGTCCTAATCCACCACCTTCTGCTCTCATCATCTCTGGGTTTCTTCCACTTCTTCTGGCTCCATGCTTTAGAAGCCTCTCTGCCCCAACAGCTGGGGAAAAGCCCCTGGAGCTTCTCTGGGGGTTGCTAGCCACACTGCCTAAGGTACTTTCACAAGGTCACATCAAACCAGTCTTGAACAGAAAGTGACAGCAGCCATGGGGGGCTGTCAGGGAGGGTGGCCGGCAGCACTGCCCTTTGATCACACATGACCACTCTGCTTTTGCTGAAGTTGCCCAGTGGCCACCTCCAGGGTCCAGGGCCTGGAAGACACAAACTTCACTGTGCAGGGGGGCACTCACAGGCATCTGTCTCCATCCATTTTTAGGGCTGAGCTGTCTTTGTGAGGATGAGGAGTTTCCATGAGCTATTTTCTCAGGGAAGCCTCTTTCTTCTCCAGAGGCAAAATGGGGAGCCCCTGAGTGTTCAGGTGTGGGGAAGGGCCAGCGGCTTCCCTTTCTAGTGAGATTCTGTGGGTTCTGACACCAGCCAACAGTCAGAACTCAGGGCCAGTAACCTTGGTTGGGGGGAAGGACGCCACACCAGGGAGGCACCCCCTGGCTCTGCCCACCTCCCCTGGGTCTCTGGTTCTGGCTGTTGGGGGGCAGGGAGGTGGTCTCACACCATTTCCTATAAAACCTCCTTATCACCAGCTTCACAGCTTTCTTTTCAAAGAAAAGATAGTCTTTTAAAAACTATTGATAGAGCCCCACTAGCAATTATTCTGGATTCTTCTGGACTGATCTCCTTCCTCCCAGAGTAATGCCTCAGAGAGAGGCAGCAGCCTTCGACTGAGCTCTGCTCTGCTGGGCTAGCAGGAGGGGGCAAACAGGACACCAAAACAACCCTGTACACTGGGGACAGCTAGGTGCCGAAGGTGCACTCAGGTAACATGAAAGCATGGCATACTCATGGTGACAGTCTTTCCCTCTTCTAGCTGAAGAGTCCAAACAGCTCCCTGTCCTGGGTTTGACCCCCAAAAGCTGGGTGGCCAGACAATGGTGATCGGTTTTGCCAACTCACAGAACTGACTCTAAATGTGAATTTTCAGAAGTGTGAAGTGATGCCATAATGAGAAATCAGGCAAGAGTGTCACAAGGCCAGGTGTAAAGGACTCCCCAACTCACAGCCAGCAGGGCCACTGCCCTCACCCACAGGCACCCATCAGACCCAACTGCATCCCAGAGGGATATGCTCACCTGTATCTCACAGGCAGCCTGCAGGTGGAAGATCTTATAAAATGCCTCCTCTACGGTGTCACCTAGAGCGACCATGCCGTGGTTTCTTAGCACCAGGATCTGTGGAGGAGGAAAAAGCCAATTAAACCTCAAGCCTTCAAAACTTAAGAGAGATTTTTTATTTTATTTAGAGCACTTTCTATAGCCCTTCCCAGAGCCCCTCCCCCAGCTCCTTATTTATTCTCCCTAATCAAACATCCCAATGCCACCTTGCATTGAAATTGAAATTGAAAAGGCTTTTTTGGGGGGAGGTACTGGGGATTAAACTCAGGGTCCTTAAATTTGGGGGGACAATGCCTAGATTTTTAGGTGTCAGAGAACTTAGAAATCGGAAAAACTTTGTGTGTATGTGTGTGTGTGTGTAAATGAATGAATTTTTTGATGTCTAATACAAGGGTTCAACCTCAAAAGCATCTCTTGTTCCTGTGAATTAGTTGACTTAGGACCAAAACCCAAGAGGACAGTTCTTTGAGGTGGCTCTGCAAAAACAGGTAAGTGGCATCCCCTCTCTGGGCCTCAGGTTTTCACTCCATAAACTCAGTGAGGCCCTGGCAGCTCCAGGATTCCACAGTTCTGTGAAAGAGGCTACACTGGTCTCCCAAATTGATTTTATAGATGTGGAAATAGAAATCTTAAGAAACAGAAAGTCTTCCAGCTAATTAGAGGCAAAAATATGAACTTGAACCCTGAGGTTCTCACTATTGGTCCAAGTTTTCAGATTCAGCTGGGAGCAGGTGGATAGAGGAGGAGACAGAAATGAATTTACACCAAGAGTACCCATCCCCAAGGGCAAAGCCTATCTTCCCTGCCAGAAAGTTTACTTGGTTGGTTTTTCCCTTGAGAACTCTCTGAAGCCACACAGGGCCCACACGGGAGCTGAGACACAGGTCCATGGGTCGGTTCTGTCCTTGCAGAGCCTGGGCTGAGGCTTTGAGGCTCTCTACAGCACACCCTCTCTTGCTTAAAACAGCTGCAGACCCTCTCTCTCAAGTCCAGAGAGATGGAGACAATGATTCTAGCCCACAAAAGACTCTGCAAACAGTGAACACCCCCTCGATTTCTTGTAGCACTTTAAAGTGTAAAGATCTCATCCCTGTCCTGGCACTGCTAATGATACTTTGGAGGATGTTGGGAGAGAGAGGTAGGACTTCTCACCTGAGTTAGAGACAGGGAGGCAGGGAGCCAGGAAACAGACAGTGAGTGCCTTGTCAGGATGGTGGCAAGCAACCCCCGACCCAGGCTGTTTCCAAGCTCAAGTGTGTGCTGTTATATGTTAGGGCTTTAGACTTCACCCAAGCAATAACGGTGTTCCACTTTTCTCTAGCAGATTGATAATGAATGAATGAATGAGTGAATGAATGAATGTGATAACACTCAAGTTTGGGGAGACTGCAGGGAAATAACATCCTCTATATTAGACATGGGGAAGGAGAGAAGAGTTGTTAGGGGGAGGCAAATGATCAATATGAAGCAAGAGTTATAAAATGTGCATCCCTAGAAATTTGTCCTAAGGAAGTTATCTCAAGCATAGGAAGATTTAGTCAAAAGGATTTTGATCCCAATGTTGTTTATATGAAGAGAAAATTTGAGGGGGTGAAGACAAGCCTTCTGATGTCCTACCCTAGAGGTCTGTTCCGCTTAATGGCTATTCATATAAGGCATAATTTAATAATTTAAAATAGCGACAGAAAATGTTTAATGATAATACTATATTTTGCTAAGGGCAAAAAAGAGAACATATTTTATGATCCCAATTTTGTAGGTATATATGAGAACACTTGGGGTGTACCCCAAAATCTGAGTAGTGTGATAGGTTTTTCTTTTTCTGTCTAGAAAAAAAAAATTATCTGCAACCTCTAAACATTCTCCAATGAATACATGTCACTTTCGTGATGTCAGTTTTGACAATGCCCCTCCAGAGCACCTTCCCAGAAGAGCTGAGCAAACCTTGCAGGTGGGGCCAAGGCACTTCTGCAGGTTGATGCGATCGGCTTCCTGCTCCATTTCCCCATTGAAGTCATAATAGGCCATGTCCCCCACCAGCAGGGCATTGTGGGAGACAGGCAGGAGGCCACACTTCATGGCTGAGACCTGTAGGGAGACAATGGAATGGCTAGCACCTGCTGCCCCCAGTTCCACTGGCCTTTTCCACAGCCCAGCACAGTCCAGTTTTACTCTGGGGTAGGCAGGGTCAGGGGAGCAGCTATGGAGAAAGGCCTGGGTCTCCTCCACCAGCTGGGATCTGCTCTCATGCTTCTGGCTCTAATGTCAGTTTTCACACCAATACTCCAGCTGTTAGAAATGCTGGGTACAATGATTCAAGAGAGCTACTGCTGTCCTGCCCCAGCCCGGCTGTGGTCCTGTGACTCCAAGAAGGAGGGATGGGAGTTTGTACCAGGTGGAACAGGCTCAAGATCCCCGGGATGGGGTGGAGAAAACACTCAGCCTTGGTTTCAGTGCAGAAACCGACACGTCTCTGCAAAGAAGACCAATGAGAAACCATTTTATGGCTCTGGGGCTGCAGAAGTGCCAGGAACCAGTGGTAAAGCACAGGTTGTGACCCTGCCTCCCACCTCTTATGAAGAGCAAGGAGCATGGAGGGAACCCTCACTCTACTCCGTGAGTCGGCCTTGGGCTTTGCAGACACACATGCTTGGCACAACTCAATCATCAAGTCTTAGTCCAGATTCTGGGAGGTCTGACTGCCCATAACCAGTGTGCTTCACTGAGAAAAGAACAGGCCGGCCACAAGTCTGCTCCTTCCTGGTGAATGCATGGTCCTCTGGAGGTCAGTAGGATGGGGTGAAGCTTGAAGCAACTGGTTTTCTACTCTCTCTCTCCAAGTGACATCACAGTGTCTTGGATCCATATGGACAAATGACCAGAGGCCCCTGGGGGCAACTTGCTCTTGAGGTTATTCTTCCTATTCTCCCTGAGATGGGTTGCACCTGCTCCCAACTCTCAGCTACACCAAGCTATGGAAAAGTGGGGACAATCTAGGTTCTCATCTATCCTCTGTCAAGATATCTCCTCCCAGAGCCTCAGCTGTGTAGGGGCAGGTGCAGCCCCGGGCCGCACAAGACTGACCTGAGCAGAAAGTCGGGAGAGACAGCCCTGGGGTACATGGTCCTGGCTCATGCACGTAGTAGAGTGGAGGATGCCATGGAATGGACATTCCATATCTTCACCTTATACCAGGACTTTGGCAGTTAGAAATAGGGACAGAATGATGGTTCCGAAGCTGGATTCTCTCCTCACCTTGGCCTGAGTTCCAGATCTTTCTAGAACTGTTTTAGATGATGAGATTGCTACTACCTTAGACAGTTTATGTCTTGCCTCAGGGAGAATCTTTCAGAAGCAGGTGCCCTGGGTCTGGCTGCTGTGCAGGGAGGTGACAGTGGATGAGGACCTCAGAGTGCCAGGAAAGCACCACTCACCGCTGCTGTGGCTGGCGTATGCAGGTGGATGACGCACCGAACATCAGGCCTGGCTGCATAAATGGCCGAGTGCAGACAGAAGCCCGAGGTGTCCACCGGGAAGCAGCTGCTGCCCTTCTCGACCACCTCTCCCAGGATGTTCACCTTGATCTGTGCCAGAGAAGAGTCTCAGAGTAACAGCACGGCAGGGCCTTTCCTCCTCCCCCAGGAGGTGAGCCCTGCACTCACCAACCTCTCTATTCCCTATTCCAGACCCCAGGAGCAATGGCTGAGCTTGGTGTTGAAGGACAAGGACCCAGTCCTGCCCTCAGAGAGTGAACAGTCTTAAGGGATCACAACATGATACAATTCAGCAGGGGAAATGCTAGAACAGAGGTCCTTAGACTTTTCTGTGCATGTGAATCCCCTGTCAAAATGCAAATTCTGCATTTCTAACACCTTCCTAAGTGATACCCATGCTGTGGGTCACGGACCCCACTTTGAGTTACAAGAAGTCAGTCATTCACAGAATTCTCTAGAACTAGGTAGGAGTCTTTAATCCCAGCAGAATAGGAGGATCAGAAGTCTCCCCAGAGGAAATCATGTCTAATTGAGTCTTTTTATTTTTAAATTTAAAAATCATACACAAAGGTAAAGAGACTATTATACTGAACACCCATTTACCAACTACCCAGAAGGCAGAGTTTAAAAATGAGTAGAAAGAAGTCACTGGCTTTATAATCTACTTTTGACTCTAAAACTCACATGGTTGGGTTTTTTTTTTTTTTTTTTTTTTTGTGTGTGTGTGTGTGTGTGTGTATGTGTCCAATCTCTTGCATGAGGAAACAAGAGGGAGAGAACAAGCTGTAGCTGGCCATGGTGTCCCTTACTTAGATAATTTCACAAAACGCCAACATCAGAGAAGGTCACTTTGTAACTGACACAACAAGACAAATGACCACTCCTTAAGCATATATAAACAGACTTACTCAGACAACACAGTGCAAGTACAAAATCGGCCAACACCCCCCTCTCCTGGCTCACGGGAGGAACTGCTGCTTCTTTATCAAAGAGCTACAGCCTCACTCCAAGCCAGGGGCCCCCTGGATAGCAACTGGGAAAACATCCAATCTTTGAATTGCTGCAACCCTACAGCACACGCTCCGAGGCCACATCCCCATCAGCCAACACCAACCCAAATCCTTAAAGAGGTCCTCCTAACACTTGAGCTGAAAACACGCCTGTTCCCCAGTGCAATTTCCCTCTTGCTGGTAGTTAATCTACTTACTGATTACAGATGTCCCCTGGACATTACCGAGCTAGATTAGAGCTTCTAAAAAGTATAACTTGGGCTTTTCAAGCTGAAGCAGCGGAGCCATCTTCAGTGTAGCCTACAAGGCAGTCCTATAAACTGCCTGCATCTCCATCCCTGAAAGCCCCAGCAGAGGGGAGTAAAGGAAGGAGACAGATCCTGGTGTGGGGGAAGGGACAGGCTACTGACATCATCTGCTTAAGCAGAAGCATCGGTAGGATGTCCAGTAAATCCCCTCTTACAAAATTCTTCTTCAAGTGAATTTTACAAAATGAATGTGACTTCCACACTTGGAAGTGGCAGCAACTCTCCCCCTCAGGCACTTTGAACCTGAGTGTCCTGTGATAACTTCTGGTTTCCTTCATCCTAGTTCCCTGCTTGCTCTGATGTGTGCTGAGTTCAGAATTCCCACTCTGGGATGGCCCCTCTTTGAGTTCATGTGTTTCTTGCCTCGTCCTTGGATGTGTGACTTGTGATCACTCAAGAATCTCCACAGCTAATAAGACAACCACCAACCCATGAGGTGCCTTTGCACAAATGAATAAACAAATATTCCCTCTGAGGGTAGCCCCAGGGGTGCAGGGCTTGGCACATGGATGTTGCTTCTATGCTAATTTGAAGAAGCCAAGCGCCTGGATGCATTAGTGAGTGGCACACAGGCTGAATTTCACCCTCTCCAATCCTCCTTGCCAGCCAGGCTCCCTTGTGCAGTATACAAACTGTACAAGCATACATGGCAGCCCTAAGACTACACATACTCCCTGAGTAACACATGCTCATGACTCTCCAGCCTCTATCTCAAGATTAGGTCTCTTCTAAACCTAGAATAATCAGATGTCAAATGACTTGTCCTCCTGAATGTCCCACTAGCTCCTCAAACTCAAATCTTGATCCAGCTGATCGCCAGGCCCCAAAAGCCCACAGGACCAAAATGTTCGGCCTGGCTTACTGTAACTGCACTAACCAGTTGTCCTGATATCAGCTGGCCTCCATATCATGGTCAGTGATCTTTACACAATGGAAACCTGATTGTACCACTCACAGTACTTCAGTACACTTCATTAAGTGAGTTTCACAAAATGAACATGACTTCCACACTCTGAAGTGGCAGCAACTCTCGCCCTCAGGCACTGGGAACCTGAGTGTCCAGTGATAACTTCTGGCTTCCTTCAGGCGAGTTCCCTGCTTGCTCAGATGTGTGCTGAGTACTCTAAGTGCTTATAGTACATCAGTAGCTCTGAAATTCCAGCAGAATAAAGCCAAAATGCTGTAATAAGTCCTTCCAGGCTTCTTATCATCTGGTCCCCACCCCGTTTCCAGCCTCACCTCTAGATTCTGAACATCTATGCCAGACTCTCCACCTGCCTGTTCTCTCGTACAATGGGACCCATGAACATCAGAGCTTGGAGCATGCTACGCTCTAGCCAAGGTCAGGACACCTCTGCCAGCCCTCTCCCTGCTGGCCGGGTAAGTCTGCTTATCCTGTGGACTCACCAGGACTCCCTTCTGCACCATTGTTTCAATTAGAAGGCTCTTCCCTCCATGCCTCCACCTCCTGGGGCTGTTGGCAGAGCTTGGTGCCCCTCCCTGGGCTCCCAAAGCTCTCCCGGAATACTCTACACTCTGAGCTGTCCTCAGTGACTACCTCGCCTGTCTCCCCCAACCAGACAATAAAGCCTTTTAAAACAGAGCCTGTGTTGCTCCTGTCTCTGTGATCCCAGTTCTCACCTGGCCGTCACCTCCTTGGGTCACGTACCCTCTGTGAGCACCAGTGTCCTTTTCTGCGTATAACATGGCCTTGGCCAACCTTGAGGTCCTGCTCTGCCTGGATGTTCAGTGGCTCTGTCAGCCTGGACTTTTGTTCTAGTACCTGGACTCTATAGTTGGACATGACTCAAGTGCCCGGGTGGTGTCCTCCCCTCTCAGCTGCAAGGAACGGCAGCCCGTGTCTCTGAGAAGCATTGGGCGCTTCTGCTTTCGAGACAGTCCTTTCTACTGCTCTCTCCCTTCCACCCAGAAATCTTCCTGGCTTGTACCACCTTCTGGATGCCTCCTCCCATCCCACCTAAAAGGAGCAGCCTGGGAGGGACCCAGAAGCAACCCCTAAGAGCCCCAGCATCAGTTAGGTCTCGCGTTTCTGAGCTTCTCATTCCAATGTGTCCGACCCCCTCCCATCCTCCCATTTCTCCACTTGGAGGACTCCGGCTCATCCCTTCTCCCTCCTCCCCCCTGCTGTGGAGGAGTCCTCCAGATGCCAAGGGTACTCACCAGGCTGGACGCTGTGACTTCACTGCAGGAAACTCCCTTGGGGCTAATCAGGAAGTGGTCCTGCTCCTTGCTGACTCTCAGCTGCAGGAAAAACACACATTTTTAGGGGCAAATAGGTAAATGGGACATTTCCAAGGACACTTGAATCTCTTCCTTCCTGAATCCACTTTACTGAACTCTTGCCTCTCCCCCAACCATTAAGAGATGAAGAGGACTCAGCTGTCCATGGAGCTGGGGAACCACAGCGAGAAGAGGAATCTCACAATGTTCAAGAACAGCCTCAGAAGTAGGGTCCAGGTGATCCTGGTCCCCACCCAAAGTGTCCACTGGGTAGGTTATCTGTTTTAGTGACCAGAGTTTTCCTTTTGGCTCTTGTGGGGGCTACATGCAATGTCCCACCCTGCTCCAGGTGCTTTTCTCACCGTAACATAGGTGTCGCTCAGCTGGGCCCAGCCATAGAGGTCTAGGAGTCGGTAGACACTACTGATCTTGCAGCGCATGCGCCGCTCCCCCTTGGCCAGGTTCAGGGAGTCAGTAGTGTGGAGGTCATTGATGGGCGTCATCATGGAAAAGTCTGCAGGGGACAGCAGTAGGGATGGGACAGCTCTCAGGGTCAGGAGCTCCCGTCAGCTCAACCCTCCTATTCCTGCACTAAGCCTCTTCAAATTCTTACAGCTATACAAGAAACATCCCTAGGCAATGAATATTCTTTAATCTTCATCCAGAGGGAGAAAGTCCAGAGAATAGGTGTTCATACCCCATAAAGTCCTCTGCTCATTTAACTAAACATGGCGTTGCTTTTGATTTAAAAAAAAAAAAATGGTAACACTCAGATCACAGAATAAAGGGTTCTCAGAATGCCAAGATTACCATAAACCCTAAGAATGGACATCAAGTAAAACCAAGAATACCCAAATCTTCATCTCATCAGATTAGGCCCTGACTTCCTTAACAAGACTCCTAAAGCCCAAGAAATAAAATCAAGAATTAACAAATGGAATGGACTCAAACCTAAAAGGCTTCTTCTCAGCAAAAGAAATAATCAATATGGTGAAGAAAGAGCCTACATCCTGGGGGCAAATTTTTGCCACACACACATCAGATAGAACACAGATCTCCAGGATATATAAAGAACTCAAAAAACTTAACACCAAAATAACAAACAACCCAATCAATAAATGGGCTAAGGAGCTGAACAGACACTTCTCAGGAGATTATACAATCAATTGACAAATATGTGAGAAAATATTCAACATCTCTAGTAATTAGAGAAATGCAAATCAAAACTACTCTAAGATTTCATCTCACACCAATTAGAGTGGCAGTTATCAAGAATACAGATAACAATAAATGTTGGTGAGGATGTGGAGGAAAAGGCATACTCCTCGCACATTACTGGTGGGACTGCAAATTGGTGCAACTAATCTGGAAAGCAGTATGAAAATTCCTTAGTAAACTTGGAATTAAACCACCATTTGACCCTGCTATCCCACTCCTCGGTCTATAACCCAATGGTCTTGGAAAAAATGGATGAAGTTTGATGGGGCAGAGGGGAGGGAGGGGGATATGGGGGCAGGAAAGATGGTGGAATGAGATGGACATCATTATATTACCCTAGATACATGTATGAATGCACATATGGAGCGACACTACATCATATACAACCAGAGAAATGAAAAGTTGTGCTGCAATTGTGTACAATGAATCAAAATTTATTCTGATGTCATACATACCTAATTAAAATTAATTAATTAATTTTAAAAAAACAAGAATAAATTTCTGAGTGAAAATAAAGGTCTATTTCATCAGTTAGCGCTAATGAAGAAGTTACCAGTCATTAGATCTGATATTATCATGCCATTTTAGCTAGATCATGTAACAATTTTTTTTTTTTTTTGTAATTTAGAAAGCCAAGTCAGTTGGGAAATAAATTCCTTGACTTTCCTGAGTCATTTTCAGGAGTCATAAACTCCTGAAGTTAAGGTTGAACAATGGATTTGAGGCTGCCATTAGGGCATATCTGTTCCTCTCTGGACACACAGACTCTTTTTATGTGATGGTTCCTTCTGGGAAATTTCTGGAGAAGGTGCAAGAGACTTGGAAACAGGCCAAGAAGGTTTGACAGTCTCATCCTCAGAGCACTGAGAGGGTCTATGAGTTGATGTCCAGTCCATTCCATTAACCATGATGACAGTGCCTCACTCGGGGAGGCAGAAGAAGGCATCTGAATGCCCTGCACTTGGATGACTCAGTGTCTAGGAACCAATAAGAGAATCAATAAGCAAGGTTCTAGCTAACAATGATGTCTGCCTGAGAGTCTCTCAAAGCTGCTTCTCCCAGCTCCCCACTAAAACTCTAATGGATTAAAAGGCTATTTGGAAACTTTTATCATATTTATACCCCCGCCTCGACTACAATGTGATGTATTTCCCGTATCATATTGGCCATTCGTTAAAATGAGATGGTCTGAAGATGTGAGGGTGGGAGGGTGCTGCTGGGCCACCACACACAAAGGGCCTGTGTATCGACCATATGAGATGCCCCCACCCCGGGGCATGTGTCCACTGAATGGAGCATTGCCAGGGACACCAGTGTTCTAAAGTCCCCGTTAGATGAGCAAGAGCAACGACAAAACTCCAAAGTCAAGGATTTCTAATACAAAATTGACTAGTCTTAGATCCCTTCCTGTAGGTGGGTTTCCCACACAAGAAACTACCTCTTTGCTTCATCCCTAGCAGCAAAAGGGAAGGACATTAGGTCTTAGGCAAAGCCAGGCAAGTGGGCCTCCTGGAGAGAGGGTTCATATCCCCGTTCTTTCAATTCCTCTCTTACAAAGAACCGTGCAGTTCTAGGGTGGCCAAGAGGCCAAAACAGGCCTGAAAACATTCACTCCGTCACATCTTCTGAGTCTGGTCTCAAACAAAATTCCCTTCCCTGACTCTGAGGAGTTTCAACTGTGAGGATTCCTCCACCCACAGGACCCAGGGGCAGGAGATGAGAACAGCAGGGCTCTACAAGAGTTCCCACACCTCTGCTCTCAGAATCTTAATGTACAGGATTCTTACTCTGACCAGCTCCATAAGTGAGTCTGGTTGAACACCATGTTTATGACACAGGTCTAACTGGGCCAGATGGAAACTCAGTGACCTCCCTGAAAGACAATAGTGAAGGGCACACTAATGAAAAAAAAAAAAAATCTAAGACAAATGGAGCTACACAGAGAATAACTCATGACCCTGACAACTTCTCCTCTCCACACCCACCTCTGGACATGTACTCATTGTATTTTCAGGCATCCATCTTTCTCCCTAGCAGATGCTGATTGATGAGGCAATGGGAATACCGGTCAGCCCTATTTGTCTCTCAAAAGTAAAAGTGCAGGGACAGAGATGTGAAGACAATGATGGAGTACAGACAGACAGACGTGGGAGACAAAAACCAGAGACCAAGGCCAGAGAGCCTGCGTTTAGACAATTAGTATTGATATAATAGAAGAAAATTTTTCTAAACTGAAAAAAAGGTTTATGTATACAAATTGTAAGACCTTACTATATTTTAGACCAAAAAAGTACATAAAAATTATATGTTTACAGATAACATTTATGAACTACATAGATGAGGGGAAAATCTAGAAACATCTTTAAAAAAAAGAAGAAGAAAACTTTTGGGTAGCTACAAAGGAACAACAACAACAAAAAAAAATCTGTCCCAAGTTTCTCTATTATTGCCTTAGAAAGCCAGAAGACAATGCTTCTATAGGAGGTTTAAAAAAAAAAAAAAAAGGCTAAAACCATTGAAGTGACACAAAACAGGTAAAAATAAAAGGAAGATCCAAAGTACATCAGGCAAATAAAAACAGAAATAAACAGAGGTCATAACATTAACATCAAAGTACAACGATATTCCTTTGGGCAAAGAGAACCATTTTGCAGGTCATTTTATATGGATTAAAGGTATAATCCATAATAAAACTACAGCTATAATGAATAATTGTGCTTTGGACATTTCATTAAGATATACAAAGGAAAAACTATCATAAATACAAAGAGAAATTAACAGAAATCAAATACAGTGGAAGACAACACAACTTCCATTTTATACCAAAAAATCAAATGGAAATGGAAATGTGGGTTAAAGGTCATGACCTAGAGATCTCCTATAACCATACATCATTTGAAAACATTAGGCCACACTCACAGGAAAAAAATCTCAATAAATCCTTGACACGGCAATTAAATAGGCCATGTTTCCCAAACATAATGCAATAAAATCCAATATTAACAAATTTTTTAAAGAACATGGATTCAACCAATTAGAAATGAGAAAACACAATCTCTGATACCTCTTAGAATAAGAAGAAAGGAGACTGGCAATGTGGCCCAGTGGTTGAGAACGTGCTTAGCATGTCTGAGGCTCTGAGTTCAGTCCCTAGCACCACCAAAAGATAAAGTCAAAATAGCAACCAGTAATTTTGAAAAGATCCAGGAAGTAGATAATTTTATATGAAATATATGACAAAAATTTACTCAATAAACAGCAAAAAGTAAAGATAAAATTAAGGGGAGGGTGTCAAAATAATCTCCAAAATATTTTCAGATCTGGATGGCTTTATAAATGAGTAATGAACTTTAAGGAACAAAGGCTTTCTATTGCATTCAAAATCCATCAGGGGAAAAAGAAAGGTAAGCTCACCCTGGATCGTGTTAGGAAACCACAGCCTGAATCCCAATACTGGATTAAGACCACCCCAAAAGTGAACTATTGAGCAGTCTCACATGTGAAGACGTAGATAAAAGATCCTGAATAAAATTTCATCAAATCAAATCCAAAGTATTTTGAAAAGAATATATCAAGACCAGGAATCATTTATTTCAGGAATGAAAAGAGTTCAGTATTCAGAAATCTATAACTCATCACAACAACTGATCAAGGAAAGAAAAATCAATAAATGTCCTCAAATGCAGCAACAACCACTTCTGAAGAAGACCTATAATGAATTAGATTAAAAATATATTTCCTCGGCATGAGAAAGAATAATTACCTCAAACTGTGTGGCAAAAGAATTTCCATTAAAGTCAGAAACAAGACATGGATGATTACTCTCTAATCTATTATTAACATTGTTCTGAAAGTTCTAGTGGATGAAATGAAAAAACTGGAATAATAAGCCAAAGGGTACATTTGTTCCCTGGGATGATAAAACATGGGAAGGTGTTGGAATGATAAAGGCAAAAATATACATTATTTGCAGATATGTGATGTTCTATACACAAACCCCAAGGTAATTCATATCTATCTATCCATCTATCTCCCTTCTTAAGTGAGAGCTATAACCAAAAAGAAAACTGAATACAGAAAGATTCATTTAAAGTGACAAAGTTTCAGGGATTAACATCAGTAGGGACCATATGAAAATAGCCCTTAAATATATGGTGAAAATACCCCTCATATCTAAAAATATTTAATCAATTCATGCAAATAGTTTTAAAGAGCCTCCTGTGTGCCCAATGCTATTTTTAAGTCTAGGACACTATTCTAGAATACAGTATTCTAGAACCAAACATACAATTTTTCCCCATGGAGATTATATTTTAATGTAAATTACACACTTATAATTTCTCTAACAAATCAATCTATTCATCTAATCCCAGGAAAAATTCTAAAATGAATTGTTTAAGGTAGACAAGGCGTAGAGGGCAGAGCTTGACAAAATAATTCTGAAGGCATTTTAAAGAATAAACACATGTTTGAGAAAAAAATGACAAGTGAATAATTAAGGGCATTTGTTCCCTGGGATGATAAAACATGGGAAGGTTTTTGTAAGCATGCAAACAAAAACAGAATACACAAAAGAAAACAGCAATGGATTCAACCACATGAAAATTAAAGAATTCTAGAGATGAAAAATACCATGAAAGAATTTAAAAGGCAAAGGAAAACTGGAAAAACTTGCAATGTATTTAGTAGATAGCAGGGAAATAGAATTCATTATAAAGATTCCAGGTTCTGTAAGAAAAAATATGCTAATAGGAATATCAACAAAGAATGCAAATAGGCAACTTACTACAAAAAGAAAATCACATCCAATATATATTAAAATGCATAATATATCTACTCAATAGTAATAAAATAAGTGCATATTAAAATGCAAAGTACTATTTATCACTGTCAAATCAGAATGATGAAATTAATGCTAAGATATATTACAGATCAGGGTGAAGAAATGAGCACTCTGTCGCATTGCCACTGGAAACATAAGTAGATTTTATCTTTCTTTCTCCAGAATGGAGAAAGTAAAAAATTTGCCAATATGCACAAAGGTCTTAAAACGTGGATATGCTTTGATCCAGCAAATCTACATTTTATAACTTAAGAGAAAATAGTCAAGTATCTATTCTAAGATTATTTTAATCAGGATGTTTACTGTATTTTTTATAATAGTAAAGCACTGAAAATAATCTAAAAGTCCAATAACAGAAAATTGATTAAATAGCATACATCTGCCAAAAAATTACATTGCAAAACCAAATTGTGTGCATATGAGTTACTAACACACCCTACCACTCTACCACTGAGCTACATCCTCAGCCCTTTTAATTTTTTATTTTAAGACAGGTTCTTGCCAAATTGCCCAGTCTGACCTCCAACTTGCAATCCTCCTGCCTCAGCCTCCAGAGTAGGTGGGATTACAGGAGTACACCACTGTGTCTAACCAGAACCATATTTTATTATGTAAAAAATTAGAATATATTATTATAATGATATATATAATGTGATTATATTTTTACTTGCATAAACTATATGCTAAGAGAAAAGGTAAAAAGATATACATCAAAATATTGATAGTCATCATTTTCAGGTTTCAAGAACACAGTACAATAATCTTTCTTGATTATTTTCCTAACTGTCAACCATCATCCTATATTTGATGTTTTGTTTTTAAAGGTCATGGTCAGAGCTTCATACACAGCCCAGGAAGGTGGGTTCATGCTTAGCCCTGGCTCCTCTGGCTCATCTATCGGGTTCAGTTGGCCTGTCTAATGCAGCATAGAGATAATGGCTTCGATGGCTGCCTCTCATCCCCTGAAGTTACCTCTACCACTCCCATTTCTGTCATCAGGGATAATTCTTCTGTGAGTCCTTAATTGCAGCAATATCAAAAACAGAGCCAGGCACCTCCCTGGCTTCTGCTGATCTCCCCCAGGCCTGCTAATGCAATCGCACGCTGGTGCTGTCGCCTGGCAACCAAGCTGCTTCTCTTCTCCATGCTCCTTCCTCTCTTCCCCATCACACCCCTCCTCCTCTGCTCCTGGCAGCTCCCCAGACACCCACGTACTCATGGAAGATGTTGGGAAGACTGCATGAGAGGTGCTGGCCATGAAGTCCGCGATCTGCCGCAGGGCCCAGATGTTGGAGGAGTTGTTCCCCTTCTTCATCTGCTCCTGGATGAGGCCTTCCAGCTCCTCCCTGAAAGACTGAAGCAGACCCCAAGGTGCTGGTCCTCCCAGAGTCTCTTACATGTGAGACTGAGGGCCCTTTTGCCCCAGGTACTGAATGATGAGCTCTGTCAAGTACCCACTCCCAGCCCCTAGGTCAGCCAAGCAGGGATCATGCTTGGGATTCCTGGGTCCCAGGGGCAATTCCAGTGGCCCTCGGAAGTCTCCCTGGATTGCTCTGTGGGGAGCACCAAGGAGATGCTGGGAATGAACTCCGTGTTCTCTTTGCCCTGTGGGCAGTGATCCTGATTTCCATTAGCTATGCCTATGGCTCTTCTGGATCTCAGTGTCCTCGTATATTTAATAACAATAATAATAAAAAATAGAAGGAAGGGCTGAAGGATCTGATGACCTCTGAGGTCACTTCCACTTCTGATACACTACCCTAAGCCTAGCTTCTCAGACAACAAGGCCATGAACTTGGCATCTTGCCCACCAGGTGGCAGCAGGAAACACTTGAGGTTGGCAATTCTACAAAATCACAGAAAGAAGCAGAATTCCTCCAGTTCATCTCCTGCAGGAGACCCAGAAACCAGGTCTGGTGCTATCTGACTCTGCCACCCCTTATAGTCATACTCTGGGGATCTCCCCAGGAACTCCTCATGCCAATGCTCTTAGCACCTGCTGTCTTCCACCAGGCTCCCCACACAATTCTGCTAAGACCTCAGACCCATTCTCTCCATGCTCATCTGTGGGGTGTGAGCATTCACTGTTCTTCCCTCACCGTGGTGGCATACAGACCACATAGGTGCCTGGCTCCCTGAAACCCACTTAGGACTGAGGAAGAGCTGGGCACAGGCTTCTGTGTCCATCTTGCCAAGCACCTGGAGATTCCACTCCATCCAGAAGTCCCCAACACTCAGTGTCCATGGCTGTTTCCTAAGGAGCCCCATGCTCTACTTTCCCAGACTCCTCCTTGCCTCCCTCCACTCTGCTCTTCCGCCCAGCTCAACGCCCCCCGACTTCAGTCATCCATCAGACCAGCTGTTCTCAGGCACTACCTGCCTCAAGGATGAATTCTATGGCGGTGCCTTCGCGTGGTGCCCCCTGCTGGCCACCAGGTGATGTGGATTTGTCTGTTCGTGGTTACAGTTCTTAGTAGAGAGAGGAAGGAAACCTGGAAACTGAGGCTCTGAAGGGTCACAGGACACCCGGCAGGGCTCCTGTCTGTCTCCCACTTTCTGAGCCAAACTGCCCGTACACACTCAGCTTTGGCCACATACCAGTGATCAGGGAGAGAATCAAATACACACGTGTCCTGCTTAGCGGGTCTAACTTCCTACAACCCTGGGCACCGGAAAAGGAGTGACTGATCTATTGGGTCCCCTGGAGAGTCAACCCACCTCTCCCCTCCCCGCCCCACCTCCTTTTCCATCTCCCTGACGGGCTGCGTCAGACTCCACTCACCGGACTCTGCAGGATCATGGTGACGCGCTTCTTCTGCTCCATCAGGTTGAAGTCCTGGCGCAGGTCGGCCGCACGGTTGCGAAGGCGCATGTACTCAGGGTCTTCCTCGGAGAAGCGGTCAAAGTAATGCGACCCCTGTGGGGGCGGCGGGGAGGTGGCCTCCAGGACCGTCTCTTCACTCATTTTCCTGCTGGGGCTGTGATCTGCTCCTGGAACCCTGTAGAAGAGATGGGGTAAGCATGATGTTAGTTCCGATTGAGACACACACACTCCCTAAGGCAGAGGGTTGGGTTTGGTAGGCTTCACAGTGGAATGCAGCTAGTCTTGGTCTTGGCGGGGTGTAAACTGCACTTAGAAGGCAGGACCCTGCCAGGTGTGCTGATGGATAGGAGGCACTAAGGTAGCATTGAGCCAAGTGAAAACATGGACCCAGCTTAACTGGGTACACTGGGGTTGAAGTAGATAGTTCCCAGTGGAATCATGACCTGCGAATCTTTTTGAACATTTCTATAATGCATACCCACATAGTAGAAGCTATTTACTGGAACTCAGTATTTTATCTAAAATGTAAGCCTCTTACGGGGGTGGGGTGTAGCTCAGTGGTAGGGCATTTTCTCAGCATGTGGGAGGCCTGATTAGATCCAAAGCAACACACAAAATAAATAAATGTAAATCCTTTTTATAAGCCTCCTAAAAATTATGGTGGGGCAATCCACAAAAGAACACTAAAAGATGGGAGACCCTTTGCTTGGTGCTCTCCCTTCTGGGAAGGAATCACTGTTTTAGTAAAAGTGTCTTAATGCAGAATCAGATCCTCCTTCCAAGTTTAAAAGAGGTATGTGATTTTTATTAAAGGAAAATTTATTCTCTCCCAAACCCCACTAAGTATATATCAAGAAAAAAGAATAAATACTATTTGAAGGGAGCCATGTTGTGCCCAGAGTCCCACATACCCTGCAGTGAGAACAGGGCAACCACTGTATTTTATCTACTCAAGCACTTTTTTAAATGCATGAATGAAGAACTAGGACGTTCCTTTTATTGCTATAATGGAGCCCTTCTGAGGAATAAGGCTACAGGTCTAGCCTTCACTTCCCAGCTGTGCAACTTTGGCTAAGCTGATCTCCCTCTGTGCGTCAGCTCTACTGGCCCTTCAGTCTGGGTCAGGCCATTTTAACACCACAGTGCTTTAGCCTTCTGCCCAAGGCCTGATTACCTTCTCAGCAGAAGGAGGCATGCACCTTGACTGACCCATAGTTAGTTTTTGAACACATGTGTGAGATACAAAGAACATTAATTAGGATTAAAATCCTAGGTTCTCATCCGTAACCTCTCACTCCCTTGCTCTTCCTCCTTGTGGAGATGGAGTGTTCTCCTCTTCTCTGGGAGAATCCTCCTGGCCTCTAAGTTCTGATTTACACTTGACCTCCAGCCTTGCTTCAGCAGTCCTGTGCATTCCAGCCTTAACCTTCATTCCAGCCAGCAGCTCATTACAAAGGAAGCCTTGCTGATGGTCAGTAGGGCATATTCTTGTTGTCCCTGAGCTGCCTGTGGCCTCTCTTCCCTCTTCTGCCAGGACTCTTTACCCTCATCCCTTGCAGTGTCTCCAGGAGAGGTGGGTGGGGGGTGATGCTATAAGTAAGCCCAGGGAGAAGGGTGGGAGCCCATCCCATCAACAGAGAACACCCAGATGTTTTGGTATTGTTGTTTGCATGCTTCCTTTAGGGAAAGGTGGGTAGCAAGTTCAAGGGAAAGCACATGGGCAGAGTCCCTCAAAGGCTGGATGGATGATGACCTGAGCCCTTACCTGGAGCTGTGGTTCTCAGCCTTGGTTGCACATTGGAATCACCAGGGGAACTTTAAAAACTACTGATGCCAGAGATTCTAATATAATTAGTCTTGAGTGTGACCTGGACATCAGGATTTTTAAAAGCTCCCTGGGTAATTCTAATAAGCAGTCAGGGGTGAATTATTACAGGCTCTATGTTAATGATTATAACATGTAATGTAACATCCACTCCAGGGGCTGCTCATTTCTAGCAAGCCTGACAAGAGATGGTATAAAGGCTCATGTTTCTAAACTCATGCTATGTGTCACTTCCCAGAACTGTCCAGGCTACTCAAACTACCACCTTGCCTCGGACAGCAGGGGTGCTCCATATGTTATCATGACACGCTTCTGCAGGGTTATCAAACTGTGACCTCTCCTCTTATCTCTTTCACTAATTAGTCAGCTCCCCATGAAAGCCCTTTCACCTCCCCCCCCCCAGGCCGGCATCACCTTTACCAATTGTGTCAATGAGATACTTGACAAGAGATGGGGATGAGGGACTATGGTGGTAGAAGGAATCTTTTGGGCATGGCAGCCAAAAAATAAGTCTAAAGAGAGATTTCAAAACAGATATGGCAGGTTACTAAAACAACTGTGGGTTGTACTTAGTAACATTTAAACCCAGACTCTTTCCTCTCATCTAAATGGAGAAAGAACAACCAGATGTTTCTGGTGGAATTAGCTCTGGACCAGAAGCCAGAGGCCTGTAATCTTGCCCCAATTCTGTCACTCATTTCCCTCTCTGGGTCTCATTTTGTCCATCACCAAATGAGGGAGTGGAGAGAATGACCTATGCAAAGAACACACATAGGCAACTGACGGTGTCCTGGTGGCCTCAAGTCAATTCTGTATGCAAAGGGCTACTTAAGAGTACTTCACCTCACGGGGTACAGTAGCACACACCTGTAATCCCAGCTGCTTGGGAGGCTGAGGCAGGAGGATTGAAAGTTCCAAGTACAGCCTCAGCAACTTAGTGAGACCCTGTCTCGAAACAAAAAATAAATAGGGCTGGGGATGTAGCTCAGTGGTAAAGTGTCCCTTTAGTTACTCCCCAGTAGCAAAGATAGAATATTCTACCTCCATCATGCTCCCACACAGTCTGGAGCTTGGGGTAAGAAAGAGCTGCAAGGTCAAATGTGGCAGGACTGCACTGGAGCCATAGAGATGTGCAGTCACCAACAGATTGTCCTGGGCAGGCAGCACTATAGACCAGAATTCCTCTGCAGGCATCACCCAGCTTGACTCCAACACCTCTCTGCTTAGTGACTCATCATGGCAAATAATCGTCTTTGTCACTTTCAAAGCTCTGAGTCTTGGAATTTATTTTATTTATTTATTTATTTATTTTTATTTTTATTTTATTTTAAGTAACAAGTAACTTCCCAATGAGTACACCGGATGAGCATGGAGTCGCGAGCTCCCTGTGTTTCCTAGGCCTACAGGCCCACCAGCTCCAGAGCCACCTGAACCCACAGCTTCTCCAGGACTGGAATGTTTTGAGCCAGCTCTGTCTGATACTCAGTGTTCCTAGCTCAATCTTTCCACCCAGAGGAAAGGTGAATCCTACCCCCTTTCCAGGAACAGCTCCATGAGGCCGTTCCCCCACCCCTCCCTGAAGCATGAGGAACTAATAAGTATGGGGCTAAGGGAGAGGAGCCCACACCAACATGTCCTGGCCACCTTCCCTTCTTGGAGCTCAGCCCTACAGGGCTTATCCAGAGGTGGGCCCATGGGAGTGGCATAGGATGTGGATGCCCTGATTCCATCACCATGCCAACAGCCAGCTGGACAGACCCTTTGGCTTTGTGAACCAGAGGCATCCTTTTGTGCTCCCTCTTCCCCTCCCACAATGCTGTGAAGGACATCAAAATTGTGTGCATGTTGCTCAGTGGTTAAAGGCATAGACTCTGGAACAAGAACTCTCTGGGTTCAAATCTCAGCTGTGCCACTTATTACCTGTGTGATCTTAGGCTAGTTAACCTGTTATGTGCCTCGGTTTCCCAATATATAAAATGGGGATTGTAATAATTGCCCCCAAAAGATGGTTATAAAGCTCAGCAGAGTTAATGGCCTGGTCTGTAGCAAGTGTTATTAACTCTTGGCTCTAATTTGGTGTCGCTTAGGGGCAAGAATCAGCTTTAAGAACTTGAGTAATAAGTGGCTTGTGATTCAACTCTAAACAGGTGCACACTCAATAACTATAATTATGTGGTTTTAGCACAAAGAACCAATCCAGTCTTAAGCTATGTTAACAAAAAAGAAGAACAAACATCCAGGAAAATATCTATGTGAATTCCTAGTTTTCTGATCAGACAATGGGAACATGTCAACCTGGAGCTCACAAGGAAGAGGAGCTCACAAGCTGGATGCTGAAGATAAGCAGAAGCCAGCGTTTGTGGGGCCAAGTGTGATGGAAGAAAGTATCTGGTCTTTGTCCCCAGGTCCTGGCACAGAACCTCAAAACCCTTGGAATTCTTTAAATGTCCAAGAGATAGCAGAAATATCTTTTACTATTCATAATGACCACTTTTCACCCAAACCTGAGTGTATGCTAATAAGGTGACTCATCCAGGGCCCTCAGATAGTTTCAAGGGAGGTCTGACTACTCTGGAAAGACCAAGCACATGATTAGAGGGTTGGAGCTTCCACTCCACCTCACAGGCTCCCAGGAGGGAGAGGGCTAGAGCTCAGTTCCATTAAAGGGCAAATGAGTCCACCAACCATGCTTCTGTAATGAAGGCCCCTGGTTAAAAAACTAGAGATCTCTGGACCCTGCAGCTTGGGGGAGTTTCCTAGTTGGGTAAATACACTGATGTTCTGGGAGAGAGCTGTGCCCAGATTCCACATGGAGAGAGCACGAGAGATCCACATGTCCCACCTCCACCCAGGCCCCTGTGTCTCTTCCATTTGCTGTTCTTGTCATAGCTCTTTTATGACAGAACTACAATGACAAGTACAGCACTTCAGGTTCTCAGAGTCATTCTAGTAAATCACTGAACCTGAAGAAGGGTCATGGGAACCCCCAAACTTATAACCAAGTCAGTCAGAAGTGCAGGTGGCCTGGTGATCCCTCTTGTGGCTGGTGTCTGACCTGGGGACAGTCTTATTGGTGACCTCTTCCATTAACTTATGGTAGTTGATCTGTGGCCTTTTAACTGAGACATATAATCCTTCAACTTAATTGAGTTGAATCTGAATTGAGTTGAATCAGTTGGTGACATAACAGCACCAGGCAGCTCCCTATTCATGATTTAATCTAGTCCCCAGGACGACTCAATGTACATATTGTTGTCCCAAGAAAATGAGTCACAGAAGTCCTAGATTCAGTTAGGACTATATTTGACCACAGATCCTCATTCTCCACTCTATCATATTATCCCCAAACATCTGTTGTGCCACCCTATAGGAAAGGGAATTGGCTGATTTCCTTGAGTCTCAGGGGCCTAAATTAGGAAGCCAGAGTTGTTACAGATGTGGCAGAGAGAACTTTCTAACCATAGGAGCAGCTCAATATTGGGAACACAGGACAGCTGCCTTGTCAGGTACTCTCTCTCCTCAAGTCCGGGTGCTGCAGAGGGTCTCCGGCCCATGTTCAAGATGGGGTGGGGGTGGGGGTGGAGCTAGCAACTAGCAACCTCTAAGGTCCTACAGATTCTATAGTAGTTCTTGGGTAAGATGGGGTGGGGGGGAGTTCAGGGCAACAACCTGAGTGTCTAGAAGCTTGTGCTCATTCTATGAACCCAAGTGTAAAGTGGCATCACTTGTAAAAGCCACCAGCTACTTACTGGGAAGCTGGCCCAAGCCTATCCAAGGCTCTCTCCTCTCAGTGCTGGGTCTTCACCCCCTGCTCCACTCTCCGGGGTGCCAGCCACATCTACACAGCCTCAGGCATCCAGGTGGAAACTGGAAACACAAATACAGCAAACATCAGTGTCTCATCTTGCCACCATGACACAACCCAATTTATTTTATGGACTGCTGAGAAACTCTTCAAAATGAACTTGAAATTAATTTCATTTTAAAAACAAAATACATCTATAAAAAGAAAACATTTGTATTTTTACAACTGGGATTAAATTATAAAGAGGTGAACTGGCAAAACCCTTTGCTGGGTGCTGGCTGGAGAGGTCTCAGAACAAGGAAGTTGCTCCAAATGGTCAGGGAGCGCAATGTGATTTTCCGAAGTAGTCCAAGAGGCAGAAATATCCTGAAAAATATTACACCCCAGGAAAGTGAGAGAGCCTGAGACCCATACAGGCCATGAAATGGTGGATTCAAAACAACTTCACCCAGAATTTCAGGAGAAGAACTAATACCTGGATAACAGGTCCTAAAGCACTCCTGAAAGAGGAATGTAAAGTTGTTAATATCTAACAACAATGGGCAAGCTGCCACTCAAAAAATCCTGGGCATTGAGTTCTTCAAAAGATTAATCATACCCCCACCACCACACACACACACACACACACACAAATGTGTGTGTGTGTGTGTGTGTGTGTGTGTGTGTGGTGCTGGGGATTGAACCCAGGGCTTTGTGCATGCAAGACAAGCACTCTACCAACTGACCTATATCCCCAGACCAAAAATTTTAAAACCCACACGTGCAGGGCCTTGTACTCCCAACTACTTGGGAGGCTAAGGCAGGAGGATCACAAAGTTCAAGTCCAGCCTGAGCAACTTAGTGAGACCCTGTCTCAAAATAAAAAAGAGCTTGGGATGAGGCCCAGGGGTCGAGCGCCCTGGGTTGAATCCCCAGTACTACAAAAACAAAACAATGCACAAGTGATAGTTTTCCATTTTCCTGTGAGAGCCCTATTAAGACCTCTGGGATGGTCTCACCCAAGGCTGGCAGCATCCCTGACTGCCCCCTCAACCCCCTGTCCATGGCTCTGGCTCAGTTCAGCTCCAGCCCTTAACCTGATGCTGTCCCATATATAACCATTCAGAAAGAAGTGTCTCATCAATGAGAGACAAGGAGGGTGGATCCAAGAGTATGACCTGTCTGTGGGAGTCCAGGACAGTGGCATGCCACTGAGGAATAGTCTGCTTCTTGACTCAGCCAAGGGGTCCTAGGGCTCAGTGTTTCAGTGCCTGGGGGGTCCCTAAAAGCAGTCCAGATGTCCACCTTCTAGTTAGAGCACTGGTGGTTGCTTTCAAAAGCGAGGCTTATAGCTCAGTATGCCCAGTGCCAGCTGGTGTCCTCCTTCCAGTGGTTTTATTTCTATCTAGAACAGAGTCACAACCCCTTGATGCTACATCTTTCCAGTGCCCACCAAGATGGGAGCCCTGCCTTCCAGGACAACTCAGCCTGGGGTTGCTGGCATACTCCCACTGCCCTCCCTAAGGACCAATCCAGGCAAGTTGTCTTACCCCAAGTATCAGCTCCCCCATTTCCCAGTAGCCCCTGGCATAGAGGTCTGAGGCTGTCCTATGACTACAACTGGCTAAGATTTGAACTGTCAGAGTCTGAGTTCTATCTCATGTGCAAAAACAGAATTAACCCTTTTCCCCAGAAGTAATGTGTACCACTCATATAAGAAGGCAGACATCTGTCCCCCAGATGAACAAAATAATTCCCATCCCAGTCTCTACTGATGTTCAACTCTATATGAGCCCCATTCTTTGGGTTATTCTGTTATCTTGATTAAAAGGAAGATGGCCCTGAGAGGTACTGGAAGCAAATGCATCATCTGCAAACCATTAATCTGTGGCAACAAAACTGTCAAGTCCGACTGCAGAGTCAGACTGAGGTGGGCCAGGACAGGCACCAAAACAGAAAGTTGGATGAGGGCAAGGGAAGAGAAAGAGACCTGGTACCTCCATCTCTCCATCCTTTCAATAGCCCCCGGCCCTGGTCTTTCCTCTTTCCTGTCCAACATCCCATCAATTGCCAGAATCACTGGTCTAAGATGGCAAATCTGGTCCACACTTGCCACTGCCCTGCTAAAACCCCACCCCCTTCACTAGGGGCCATATTCTTGTGACCACCCACCCCTTTCTTAAATTCTTGAACCTCCAGCCAAAACTTTGTTGGATTCTATTTTTTAAATGACAGCTATTCTTTGCACCTTTTCTAAATATAAAATTTTAATTCTGAATTCCATTTTCCAATCAAATGTATAGTCCATGTTAAAAATTTAAACTCACTGACCTCCCACCAGGGAGTTACACTTTTACCTCTCTGTCCATTCCCACCTCCACCCCCTCTCCTTAAGGATGGCCACCTGCAGGATGAGTTACCATCTCTTATCTGCCTCCCGCTCTCTGCCTGTCCCACTCCAGGGGTGATTCACAGGACCCTGAGGTACCAGACAGATTCTTTGTCGGCACCGGTGTCTGTCAGAGGCACCCTTTTGTCTGCCCCCCTCCTTTGGCTAGGCTCCAGTGTCCTCTCTCCCGGAGCCTCCCTCAGGCCGTCACATTACTGTTACCTCTTCCATTCCACTTGCAAGTGGACAGCAAATATCTATTACCCTGAGCTCCAAGCAGGCAAGGGCCTATGTCACAAGCATTTTTCTGTCCCCCATGTTGTGTTGTCACAGGGCCTGGTGCGAGATGGGTGCTGAATAAATATTAGTAGAACTCAAACAAATGCCACTCGTGGGACGTTGGGAAGCTAGGCCAGCTTAACAAAGCAGCAGTGCCCAGCCCTGGGGTCCTCAAAGCGAGGAAGGCCTGAGGGGCACCTGCAGCACAGAGTGAGGGGAAGAACACTCAGCCACCGGTTTCAGGGTAAGGTGCAGGTATTCACAGGCCTGCGTGGCAAGTGCCCTAGGGCCTAAATCACTTCTTCCCAAGCACAGTGCTCTTCTGATATAGAACCCGATGGCTGGGCCCCTCCAGCCACTATGCTCTTCTGTTTTGAAGCAGGATCCCAGCAATGGCTTGCAGCTAACAAGAACGACTCAGTGCGATGCTGGACGGGAAGGTAACCTCACATACCACACAGATGCACCGCCATCCTCCTGGCTCTCCCGAGTTCGGCCTCTTCCCTCCAGTACCTGTCCCCTTCAGGATCCTCCACTCTGCACATGGGAGCCCTAGAATCCCTCTCGGAGTCACCAGTTCGCATCCTCACACTGACCCCCCTTCAGAAAGACCCTCCTTGGGATCCACCCTGATAGCAGGGAAGTGGGGGTGGGGAGGAAACATGCTTCCCGTCACACAGCGTTTTCTTCCCTATCTCACAAGACTAAGTATGTGTCCCCACTGAGGTATGAAATCACATTTCTACAGATTGCTCCTTATGGCTGTAAAAAAGAACAGGAGGTCTGTGGGGGGAATAAGAGACGCCCAAGCTGCCTGACTTTTTGCTAAAACCTGCTTCAGCTCTGTGCATCCCAAGGAGTGGTGGGTGACTGTCTCCTGCCACTTCACTGGCTGTGGGTCTCCAGACCAACAGAACTTGGCACCCTGACCCCAAAGAAGAAAGACACCACAAGATGACATCTCCAGCTGCCCACCACTGTCACAAGCACAACCACCCTTGGCACTGCCAGCCTCTGAAAGCCCAGGCCCCAGTGCCATAGACCAGCTCCCAGAAGGACAACCCAACATTTGCAGCAAGCTTAAGGCTCAGGGTCAGAACACACACTCACCAATCCATGAGTAAGATCCCCAACATGGAACAGGAGCCCTTCATGGCTATACTGCTGCTGTTTGGCAGAAAAAAAAATGGGGGCAGTTGAAATAGGGACTGGACCACACCCTGCCTGGTGTGTTCAGATAAAGGAGGAGCTCAGACCTCTGTGGCAGGATCAAGGAGGATGCTTATCACCATCTTTTCATACTCTTCTTGAATTTTCCAAAGTTTCAAATTGGATATTAATCACTGATCACTTAGGACAAAAGTAATTTTGTATGGGGGTGGGATTGGACTCAGGCCCACTCACAAATGGGGCACTCAATCACAGAGCCACATCCCCAGCCCTATTTTGTATTTTTATTTAGAGACAGGGTCTCACTGATTTGCTTAGCACCTCACTGTGCTGAGGCTGGCTTTGAACTTGTGATCCTCCTGCCTCAGCCTCCTGAGCCACTGGGATTAGAGGTATGCACCACTATGCCTGGCAGAACAAAGGTAATTTGAAAGAAGAAAAGGTGGAAGGAGAGAGGCAGAAAAGTCTTTCTATGTCTAGAGAGAAACCCCATCAACTGGAAGAATCCTTTAACCCTCAACTGCCCCAGAAGTTCTTATTTGTGGTCATCCCTGCTGCCTCGTTTTCCAGTAAAGGCCAGTGCATTTTTTTTGAGAGAGAGAATTTTTTAATATTTATTTTTCAGTTTCCAATGGACACAACATCTTTATTTTATTTTATGTGGTGCTGAGGATCGAACCCAGTGCCCCCGCGCATGCCAGGTGAGCGCGTTACCGCTTGAGCCACATCCCCAGCCCAACCAGTGCATTTTTAAAACCTTCCTCAAAGGACCTCACACCTAGTGGTTGATAGACAGGTTTTTACATTCTCCTACTACTCTGTTGTGGAAGGAGTGGACCAAGATCTCCTTCTTACAAACATGGAGTCAGATCCACTCCCTCTCACACAGCAGTTATTTGTGGAATATCTATTGATGCCCGGGAGTAAGCAAGAACTGGAATTGAATAGGAGAGGGAAGATACCTGAAAGAAATGAGACATGATTCCTGCCTGCTGGAGACCCACAGTCATGTTTGTTATTTATGAATTCAAATGAAACATAATAGATACATATGCAAATATATGCAGATATGCAGCCAACCGTCCAGGTCAGCACAATACAGGGCATTAAAATGCATGTCAATATTGACCTGAAACACATTGTGTTTAATGTTTGTTGGGACAGGACACTGGAAACTTTGGGCCCACATTTTTGAAAGCTAAGGTCCTGTGTTAGATCTTGCAGAAAGACATTATTCAATCAGCAGAA